ATATCTGAATAAACTTTAGACCCACACGGTGATAAAGTTAACAACACAACTCAAACGTCGTCAGCTGGGAGAAGTTCAGGGTGTGTGTATCGGGAGTGTCCACATACTTTTGGCCACACGGTGTACGTTGATTTAAACCAAAAAGATGGATTATTGTCTTATTTACGCTGTTTAACGCATCTTAATAAAATAAATGAATCCTCCAAACTCATTCACATGGATTAAACCTCCAACCAACTCAAACATGAACTTAAATGTGTGCAGTCTTTTAATTATTTCATATAATTCTACAACTAATTGTATTTAAGTTGACTTTAAATCATTAAACATTTTTTTAAATTAATAATAAGCCTGAGTATTCATCCAAATAATTCTTAATGAAGTGTAAAGATGTCAAAAAATGTATTGGCTACTATTTTGATAATCAATTAATCCCAACTTGTTTTTATTGAGATTTAAACATCTTAAACATAAACATTTGAGTGTAACTTCAATTAACTTAATTTACCTTAACATTAAATACTCAAGTTACTTTTACTCAAATCAAAAATGTTTTAAAGCTTAAATTGGTTTCCTCAAACAGTTTGAGTTGAACTAACTCATCAGGTTTTACAGTGTTAAAACAGTAAAACCACCAAGAATAAAGGCCATTAACTCGTGGACATCCCCCAAACAGCCGACTCCCTCCCCGCAGAGACAGGTCGAACCAGGAGGTAACAGTCAGCCTGTGGTTTCAGAGAGCGGGCGTCCATCCATCTCCCCGTTCACGTGTTTCGTGGCCACCGTAGTTTCTCCTTGGGAAGGGAGGATGATACGTGATCTGCAGCTTAACCTCGAGACGCCACTAAATCCCACAGACTGGACCTTTAAAGCCTTTAAAGACCACTGTGGATAATCGGGTCTCCCGGTAGAAACCTCCTGAACCACGAACACTGAAGGAATCCGAACAATGGTGGTGAAGACAACAACTCCCATGATCCCACGCTGCTTCACGACATCATAAAGCTTCATATTTTGTAATTGCTTAGATGTGAGAGACCCCCTTTAAATGACATATTGTACGTTTAAAGGTTTTGAATGCGGCCTTGTAGTGGAGCACGTTCAGTTTGGCGCGTGCTGCTGGTTTTAATGAGGCCTGCAGTGTGTGTGTGTGTGTGTGTGTGTGTGTGTGTGTGTGTGTATGTGTGTGTGTGTCTGTGTGTGTGTGTGTCTGTGTGTGTGTCTGTGTCTGTGTGTGTGTCTGTGTGTCTGTGTGTGTGTCTGTGTCTGTGTGTGTGTCTGTGTGTGTGTGTGTGTCTGTGTGTGTCTGTCTGTGTGTTTGTGTGTGTGTGTGTGTGTGTCTGTGTGTTGGTGTGTGTGTGTGTGTCTGTCTGTGTGTGTCTGTGTGTGTCTCTGTCTGTGTGTTTGTGTGTGTGGGTGGCTGTGTGTTGGTGTGTGTGTGTGTGTCTGTCTGTGTGTGTCTGTGTGTGTGTGTGTGTGTGTGTGTGTGTGTGTGTGTGTGTGTGTGTCTGTGTGTGTGTCTGTGTGTGTGTGTGTGTGTGTGTGTGTCTGTGTGTGTGTGTGTGTGTGTGTGTGTTTCTGTGACAGCGAGCCTTCAGACAGATCAGCTGGTGAGCAGCAGACTGACTGTGAGACTGAACTTCACAACAACCTCCCTCCTCCTCCTCCTCCTCCTCCTCCTCCTCTTCCTCCTGCAGCAGGAGCAGTAGCGGCGGTGGCGGCGGGGTTGAAAGGCTTTCGGCTTCTGCAGCTGTCACAGACGCCCCGCCACTCATCACCCGGCAACAGGCTACAAACAGACCCCCCCCCCCCACCCCGCCTCATTCCAGCACTGCTCCCTCCCATTCCTTCACACCAAAACATCTCTCTCTCCTCTGTCAGCGGGAGGCTCGCTCGCTCGCTGTGTGTTTTGTTTTGCAGCTGAAAGCAGATTGAAGGGGGGGGGGGGGGTTTCAGCCTCAGTGTAGGCGGGGTGGGGGGGTTGGGGGCTGACCTCAGACTCCCTGCTTCTTTTTTTTACGATGCTTGCTTAATATAATCAGAGTGTGCTGGTAAATGAGGGAGGAGGGGCGCGCACAGAAAAGCCTCTTTATGAACACAAACTCGACGCTTTTTGGCAGTTTTTACCAGACCTGCAGTCCGGAGTTAAAGACGCCCTCCTGACATTATTAACACATATATATACAAATAGTCTGTGTGCCTGCAAACATTAAAATCCTTAAAAATCCATCTACTCGTCCTCCCTCGTTAGAAAATACTTTTAAATGCTTCAACTCAGACTGTGGTGTGTTTTTTTACACTATGACAGTTTTACTAAAATTAGATCTTTAATCATTTACAATATATCTCCCTGCTTACATGAATCCTAATCCCTGTATACGTATTGTAGCACCAGATTCTTGTCAATACACGGCTGTAGAATGTAAAAGTATTTAAGTATTTACGAGCAAACATGAACTCCCAGTTTGGAGGATTTAGTGGCGTTTAGAGAGGAAGTGTGTAGGAGAAACTAACGTGGCTGTGAAACGCACAGAAAAACACCAACAGTCTCATTTAGAGTCAGTGTTTGTTTTGTTGCCGTAGGAACATGGCAGACTCCGCCAGAAGAGGACCCGCTCCCTCTGTAGATAAAAACGTCTCATCATAAGCTGATGCTACAGCACTGCTGTGTATGCAGGAAGCCAACAGCGCCATCTGCTGGTGGGCAGCTGTAACTTCATGTCCCACCATCAGGACAGTTCAGTGGCGTTTTAATGTTTATATAATGTGTATAACAGATATCTGCTGGACTGGACTTACAAGTAACTAAGTACTGTACTTATTGAAATGTTTATAAATCAAAATTGTCCTTAAGAGCTACAGTTACTTTTTACACAACAACACAACACATATAATTTGATGAAATTGTTACAGATTAAACTACAAATTAAGTGTATGTATATATATATGTGTGTGTGTGTGTAAAATTAGATCCACCTTAACCAACAACAGCATTAAAGTACTGCTCAGATATTAATGCATCAATAATAATATTGATCCAATATTATAACAGTGTAACACTGACAGTAGCCACTCTACATTATGAGTACTTTCACTTGTGATACTTTAAGAAGTTTTAAGGATAGAAGGTAATTAGTATATATATATACACACTAAAATATACAGTAAATGTGATAAATCAAATTAAAGCATCTTTTGTATAATTTCTTGCACTTTTTCTTTACCTTTTTAAATCTTCTCTACCATTTCCTTTATCTGTTGTTTTAAATATACATTTAAATGTACTGATTTATGGACTCTGTAATAATAAGGTTACCTGTATGATTGTGTTGGATTCTCTCCAGCTGAATGTTACCGTAGAAATTAGAAATGTGTTAACAGACTTCAACTCTGGCGTGTTGTTTGAGATATTGTGTCACATAAATAAAACTGACTTTAAGAGGATGTGGAGCTCCTTTATTATTATTATAATAAACAGTTTACATGTATAGAAACTGAGAACATGTACTAACATAAAAACCAGACTTTCTGCCTTTGAGGATGTCTTGTTTTTCTCTGGTATTGTTCGATTGGACCTTTGCTGTTTAAATAGTATCTGAAAATGTGAGAGTCCAGAATGACGCCTCTTTTAACTTTGATATTTTCTTTTTTTTATTAGAAATGATCCTAAAAACTTTGTAATTTCAATATTATATTGTTTTTTAGGATGACTTTGTCACTACAGATGGAAATAGCGTTTATAGAATTATCAGTGTGCAGCACAAATAAACACATTTGTTCAAAATTGTATTTTCAGTCTTTATATCTTCTTGTGAAACACTTTCATGGAGCCGACTAGTTTTGAACCGTTTGGACCAAAAATAAAACTGGTTCTGACCCTAAAACGTTTAAAAAAAAAAAACCCCAACAAAGTCATATTCTACAGGTTGTTGTGTATTGTGTAACCCTCTGTTGATGATGCACAGGCCGGTTCTCTAGATCAATGGTTCCCAACCTGGACGTCACAGGGCGTCGCGAGGCCTTCTTGATTTGAAGGCGTGCTAGAAAACGTAAAACATATACACAGTAGGACGACATCGCAGCATCTGGTTCACTTCTGCCACAAAAAGTAAGTATAAATTAAAACAATGGCCAAGCGTCAGGGACAATAAAATACTGAATTTGTCATTAAAAAGAAGCCAGTTAAGTCCGTATCATTGTTTAAAATAAAAAACTACATAAGACAGACATAGAATGGTATCAAAAGTTCCCTAAACAGGAAACAATCTGCTCAGAATTCATCCAAATCTCTGGTTTTACATAAACTTCCTGCAGTTACTGAGTTCACTGTTTGGGTTTATTGTACAGTTTTAATATGAAATATGTCACTGAGTCAGTTTAATAAATGATAATACATGAATCCTTACTGGGAACCAGTGATATAGATATAGTACCAAGGCCTTTGAACGGAACCGGCTTCTTTACTGGAAGCAGAGTTTCTGCAGGATTCAACAGGTTAAAGACGATTTAAGAGCTTTTTTATGTCCATACTGACAAAAAAGTACAAAGGACATGAAGGAAAATATATTGATTCTATGTTGGTTTCATTTTGTAGTTGTTACAGAATCAATACGACTTTTTCCTAGTAAATTCATTAATCCAATCCATTAAGACCTCTTAAATTCATATTTAAGACTTTTTAAAGATCCAGCAAACCACAGAACACGTTATATATTATGTTCACGACTCTACTTATATTGTGAAATGTGACTTTTAACTTCAGGGTGAGTTAATAGTAGCACATTCTTGTTGGTGAACGGGTGAAAACACAAGCTTGCTGTATCAAACAGAAGCCTTCACTTACAGCCGGAGAAATGTAGGCCAAAGATCATCATTCCTCTCAGCTTACCCCGCTGAAGAAAACGGCTGAAACAAGAGGTGGAACTGAGACCGGACAACGAGTGTGAATAAAGTGTGCAGAGGAAAAAGAAATAAATAAAAACAGCATCAGGGACCAGCGGTTATCAAAGATCTCCTTCATTGTTTTAATAGTAGACATTGTGCCACAAAAATGTCATGTCCGCAGCCACAAATCAACGTGCCGAGATTTACTAATTCCAGCTATTTATCATGTCATTCGCTTTCACTTTGCTTCTCTACACAATTTTGCAAATCACTTCTTACATTTATGTATAAATATATACAGTTTATAGATTATTCTCGAGCTGGGATGGGTGATTTCTTTTTTTCTCCTGTTGTCGGTTGTTGTGCTGTTGGTTGAGAAACATTAGCAGAGAAAAATACACACGGCTGACGTCACGTCTCCCAATGTAGCACATGCTTATTGTATCATGGACACCAGCAGAGCACACACACACACAGAGCCGAATATAGATATATACAGGAATGTTAACTGCTATCATACAAAGTGGATTCTTTAAGAAGTCACGACTGCGGCGGGCACACAAGGGGGAAAATATGCCAACAACACGAGAGCACCGAAGGCATAAATGTCACGTAAATCTCCTGCCACAAAGGCACTGGCACGTCGTTTTTTTTTTAGGGGGCGACTCTGTGAAGTTGGAGCAGGTGACAACGGTTTGGGAGCGTTTCCTGGGTGTGGTTTGAGCCGCTTGGTGACGGCGGGCCGATCGCACGCCACGGAGGGAGCGTGTGATCAGGTCTGAACATGCATGATGCTGGTTTAAGCATGTGCTTCATTTGAAGTGCTCACTAATTCGTGTTACGGGAGGAGATTCGGGGCCCGAGTTAAGCTGTTAAAGACAACAGCTGAATAAAGACAACTTTATGTGAGTTGGGGGGGGGTGTCTTTTTTTCAGTTAAAAAAAAAAGTGACAAACTCGAAGGAAGGGTGGGGCAAACATAATAATAAAACAAAAAGAAGAAGAAGAGCTGTATATGTGTTCTCTTTCATTGGTTAACTTCACACACTGTTAAAAATCGTTTACATTTTGTTTGTTTTTTCCAGTATGAGTGTGTTTTGATAAAGTAAGAAACTGCCCAGTGTGTTCTGTGTGGGGATGGATGGGCTTACCGTCCAATTGCTGACTTTGAAAGGGTGGTGGGAATCTGGTGTTGTAGCTGCACACACAATTACAAACCGGTCCACTCAAAGTCTTCCTGTCTTTCCCTCCCTCCCTCCCTCCCTCTCTCTCTCTTTCTTTCTCTCTCTCTCTCTCTCTCTTTCTCTCTCTGGTTTTCTTTCCCTGTGGAGCATGGTAACATTGAGACTGGTCGTGGGCTCGGGGTGGATTCAGGTCGTGGCTGTTTTCGGGTCTCAGCAGCAGCCTCCGGACGAGGTGTTGACGGGCTTGCTCTGGATCTTGACGTTGGACTTCTCCGAGGCGCCGGCCGTGGCCCCGGGGCCCATCCTCTTCTTGATCTCGGCCGCCATGGTCATGAAGGCTTGCTCCACGTTGGTGGCGCTCTTGGCGCTGGTCTCCAGGAAGGGGATCCCCAAGTTGTCGGCAAATTCCTGGAGAACGAAATGGGAGCAACAAGGAGGAGTTGAATAAAATAAATTCCAGGAGAGCAAATGGAAACTATCTGCTGAGGAAGACTGGAAGCTCCAGAACTGCTGCGTAATGGAGCTACTGGTTTTAAAAAGGTCTGTCTGATGCACACTGGAAGAGTTTTTAAATCTTAACTTAAAACGTGGCAGACCTCAAACATAACAACAGATTTATATTTTATCTGTAAAAACGCAGATTACAAAATGCTGATTCAGCAGACGCTGGAGTGTTGATTCAAGTTCAAACATTATTCATGATTTGAAAGCAGGGAGACTCTGATTTAGTCGGTAATGTTAAGTTTATGTCACACTAGACTCTATTCAGACCCGCTCCACGACGGTCAGGAGGGGCGAATCTGATCCCAAATCTGCCCAATAATCCTGTAGAGTCGGAGTCAGCGAGTTAAATGACCCACAAATATCTTCTGTGTCTACTGGCTTGCATTTTCCAGAGCTTTCAACTGAATCTCAGAGTCTTCTTTAGTGGATGCACACAGAGAGCAAACAGAGACTGCTGCTGTGAGAGTAACTGAAAGCTCCAGAAAAAGAAAGTTTGACTTTGAGTTAAAGGTATAGTTTCCAGTCTTAATGCTGAGTCATATTAACTGTACAGACTGCCCTGAACAAATAAAGCTGACTCATCTTTCCTCGAACTAAACCTGCCACAGCCTGGTTGAGGCAGTTAATTATTGTTAACTATCTGGTTTTCATAATGATTGGAAGCTTGATTAACCGCCACCGCCCTAATTATTAGTTATAAATAGAGTTATCTAGGTTGCTGCTTCCTGTGAGCCCAACAGGCCGACTGAATACCTGCTTAGCACCTGGTGTATGTTGTTGGAAATGTTCATTAAAATGGTTCAGTTGGTCATTTTGAGGCGTCACCTTTACCTCATGTTGTTCCTGAGTGTGTCAACCAGTCAGTACTTTCTAAATACAAATACATAACCCAAACACTGTGCTTCAAAGTCCCAACACGACGTGGCTCACGGAGCGATTCTCCACAGTTCACCCGGCCGTCTGACCAGCAGCTGCAGTTAAATGTTTTCCTCGCTGATATCTCGCAACAAAGACTGAGCTCATCACATTTCCAAGGCTGTGACGGTACAGCCTCATTTCATTATCCTGTTAGCGACAGAACTCGACTGTCACACAGCTGCAGGACGAGCACAAACAGACGTGGAGATCACTAAATCAAAACTGTTTGTGTCTCGCACAAGCGTTGCCATGACGTCCACTCACCTTAGCCGTGGTGTAATCCACGACCTTCTTCGTTGTGAGGTCACACTTGTTGCCTACTAGCAGCTTGTTGACGTTCTCGCTGGCGTAGCGGTCGATCTCCTGTAGCCACTGTTTGACGTTATTGAAGGACTCCTGAGGGAAGGGAAGCACAAACAGGACGCACGTTAAAGAGCTGTAAACTGTATTAAATGTCTGTGCTGCTGTTCATATTCACATTATTACCAATTATTAGAATCTACTGAAGGGTTCAGTTACACTTTCATACTGACGATGTCTCACATAATATTCCAGTTTTTGGCCTTATTCTGAAAATATACGAAGCGGTTAATCCCGTTTACATGCAGCTGTGCATACTGTGATTACTGTTAGTGCCGTACCGTACGTCCTGTCTTTGCGTCAAAGGAGGATTTTGTTTTATTTTATAAGTTTCTGACTCGCTCAACTGTGCGAACACATCCTCCCTCTTTCATTCGTCCAACCACCTTCTTTAAAAGTTCAACGTTGTGATATAAAACTACAAAAACCTGTTGATATCTGAGTCTTTCACAATGTTTAAAAGCAGATATGTTTCTCCTTCCCAACAGAAATGTGGACTTTTCTTTTGTCAGACACTTATTATACGCCTGAAGGGTTAAAAAATGTTTGTTTATGCTGTTTTAACTCACAAATATTGGCAAACTGACAATTCTCCTGATTGTTTTGAGTAAAAAAAAAAACCTTTTCATCCTCGATGAGGGAACAAACCGCATTATTGGTTGGGTTCTGTTCATTATGTTGATTAATGGCCAGTTCATGTGGTATTGTACTGTATATAAGCTTTCATATTTCAGTTCCTGCTTAATGCTCAAAATCCTCATTTCTAACTGTATGTAGCTTCTTATTATTTATTTATGGTGTAATCTTTATGTTTTTATTCAATTAGCTCCGTTTTCATCCTTTATCTGCTCTATTTCTTCTGCTGCTGTTACACTTCATTTTCCATGAATAAAGTGTTGTTTAATCTTATCTTAAATCCTCATTAGGATTGACTGTGTGACTGGATGATGACTGGGAGTTGTAGTTCTCTTAAGGGAGCTCTGAGTGAAGCAAACATGAAGACAAACGTAGCACTGACCTGATCTGTCACATCATAAACTACTATAATGCCGTGAGCTCCTCTGTAGTAACTGGACGTGATGGTACGGAACCGTTCCTGACCGGCCGTGTCCCACTGGGGGGGGGAGAGAGAGGGGGGGAGAAAGCAGAGTGAGTCAGTGTTTCGTCCGACCGACACAAACATGATCCAAAGTTTATCACCGCCCTACGACACTACGGTCTCCTCACAATCTGAAGCTTTATGGTCTTTCCGTCCAGCTCGATGGTCCTGATCTTGAAGTCCACGCCGATGGTGCTAATGTAGCTCTCTGTGTACGTGTCATCCTGGGATAAAACACACACACACACACACACACACACACACACACACACACACACACACACACACGGTGGGTCTGGGTGGTAGATATACCTGATACCTGACAGTGAGAAGGCAGAAGAACAGAAAACTTACTGCAAACCGGAGAAGGAGACAAGACTTTCCGACACCAGAATCACCGATCAGGAGCAGTTTGAATAAATAGTCACTGTGGGGAAAAGAGGAGGGAAACATTATTAACACAAAACTATTATTAAAACCTTTAAAATAATCACATAACACTAACTAGTTAGACTCATGTATGTTTTTAATCCTGTTTACTTTGCTCAGATGTTTTCTTTAATGACATTTGAGTTGTTTGAAGTTATTTAATTCAATATAATAAAGCAAAGTTAATTCTAAGAAGAACCATTGCTATGCTCCATCCATGCTATATCATCATGGTGGCGCGATTTAATGCCTCAGTTAATAGAGTTAACCACAAATAACATTTAGTTTTAATTATGGATGAATCCATCAGTTAAGAAAATGGAGAGAGAGCAAACATATTATAATAAAAAATAAAGAATCCATTAAATACTTTTAGTTACAACATACTATATAATAGTGTTAATATTTAGTCCCTAACAGAAGATTAACATTAACAGTTTGATAACATGATTAATAATTTAGGTTTTGTTTTAGCAAAAAATGTGAGGATTTATATTCGGACCGACTCAAGAGGGAAACATTTCACTTGAGCAGCAATAAAAATAGATTTCGCGGCGACAGAAATATGCGAACGTACTCAGAAGGCCGTTAAATGTTAGATAATTGAACATTTATGCTACATTAACAACCAATTCTAGAAAATAAAGATAAAGTAAACAACTGAACATCAGTACTGTATGACATTAATGCCACTATTGATACGTCAGTGACAGAATACCACTGAAAAGGCTCTATTTTATAATATCTTCAGGTATCAGAGCGGCACAATTAATGCCGATATTATCACAATGTGTGTTTAAATGTGTGATAAACAGCTTTATTATCACCTTTTTCTGCTTATTTGACCTTATACGTTGTTATTTATAAAGCGATACTCGGCTCCGGTAGTTACCAGCTACCTTACAGATAACATTAGACTGCATTTACTTATTCTGGATCTTATGAATCTCATTATAATCAACAGTTATATATCCACTGGTACATTAAAGTGCCTCATAAGGAGCACTGGTTTACAGTTAATTGTGTAACAGAACAATGGACAAGAAAACTGAATTTGACCCTAAAAAAGAAGCTGATTGATTATTTAAATTATTTTAAAAAGACGTAATACAGATAAATGTATAAAGGGAATAATCTCTGGTGTTCCTGAGCTCACAGTTTTTAATATAATATGACAGATTAAAGGATGTGGTGGTGACGGAGGGAGGATGCGGTTGTGTTTGAGTAGTTTCTGTTTCTCTTCTTCTCCTGTAACATCGATTATTGATCTCACTGAGACTTCCTGGTGAAACAAAGATTAAAATAAAATAAAATAAAATAAATAAAATACAACCACAGTTACTATCACGTTATGACGGACATATTCCCCCAACCTCCTGATACTCTGAAGAGCCCACACCACTAACCCCCTCAGTCAGATCAATCAATATATCGATCCATATATAAACACATTGACTGCACTGACATTGTAGTGACTTCCTGTGGCTCCAGCTCACTCACACACACACACATTGTAATAAACTTTATGTTTTATTGCGTCTTAAACTGGAAAACTGTCCAAAATGTGTCAACAACAACAACAACAACAACAACCCTCCAGTGGCGGCTAACGTTACGTAGCTCTCCGGTTAGCACACGAGCTAGTTAGCACGCTCCCGTTTAAGTTGCTCTAAGTGCGCGGGAGATGACATCACGGGCGACGCGCTGATAACGGATCGATTAAATCGGTGTTATATTGACCGGGAAACGTTGTCGAAGACGAGCTCAGCGACACACATCGGCGCTGTCATTCGATAGTGCGCGCAGCCAGCCGCAGCTAGGCTAACGTTAGCAGCTAGGCTAACGTTAGCAGGCGGAGACAAAGCAGCTGACACACAGGCTACCGGTCGGCTAACGGTAGCTTAGCTTCCCCCGGCTAACGCTGACAGCTGCCGTTAAATCGCTTTTAAAACACTTACTATTCGGGATTCATCGTCGACTACAGGTTGTAAAGGGTCGTTACAGTGAATGCAGATGGAGATCGTCGCCGGGGAACCGTAATGTCGGACTGCTAGTGGAGGAGAGACACCGTTTCTTTTTTTTTTTTTGTCAAGAACTGGTTAAACTGGTTGTCGCAGCTAGAACAGCATAATCGAATCAAATATGGCTGTCAGCAATACCTACCCGGAAATACCACAGCACAGGAATCATGGGTAGTGTAGTCTTCTGGTAATGGGCGTTTACAAAGCACGGAGGTATTCAAACTGTATGATTTCTATTGTGGATGTCTATGTATATATATATATTCTATTATTATATTCTATTATATTATATAATATTCTATTATTTTATTCTATTATATAATATTCTATTATTTTATTCTATTATATAATATTATATTATTTGATTCTATTATATAATAGTATATTATATTATTTTATTCTACTATATAATAGTACATTATATTATTTTATTCTATTATATAATATTATATTATTCTATTCTATTATATAATATTATATTATATTATTTTATTATATTATATAATAGTATATTATATTATTATATTATATAATAGTATAGTATATTATATTATATTATTTGATTATATAATATTATATTATTTTATTATATCATATAATAGTATATTATATTATTTTATCATATTATATTATATTATATTAAATAAATTATTATATTATATTATTATATTATATTATATTATATTATTATATTATATTGTATTAAATATATTATAATATAATATAATAATACATATATTATTTTATTAATTTAACTATCTTTTTCTATTTGTGAAGCATGAATGACCCGTAAACTTTCATTTTGTCATATATAATGAGGGAAATTGGTAACAGTTATTATTATCATTAGCAGAGAGTGCTGATATTTTTAAAAGTAAGTTCAAGAATGACCTTTTTTTGTCTGGCTTTTAATATTTTTTATATACTTCTATAAATTATTATTATTATTATTATTATTATTATTAATAATAATAATAATCTATTTATAGACTTTATTTGTTATTTTATTTTTATTTGTTTTATTACTTACTATTTATTTATATATTTGGTATATCTTTTTCTTATTCTTAGTTTTCATCTTTTTCTGTTTCTGCCTCCAGTGCAAATTAATGAGACAGCGTTTTTTTCTCAGTGTTTTTATTGATTACAAAGAGATTTATTACTTTGTGTGTGTGTGTGTGTGGGGGGGGTTAATGTGTGAAGCACTTTGTGTTACAGTTTGCTTGTATGAAAAGTGTTATAGCAATAAGTCTGATTGATTGATTAACTGATTATAAGAAAAATAAATAACAGTAATAATAAAATATGTGCATTAAATTACAATACAACATTTATAGAAATTATTAATTATTAAATAAGATGTATTCACGTTATAAATGCACATAATGATATGCATGAGTAATGATAAATGTCCACGGTTCCTTGATAATACCAGTAAAAGTATGTATGATATAACTATTATTATGACTCATGTATGTGAAGTTAAATCAGGATTTTACTGTTGTAGCTGGTTGTGCTTATGTTGAACTATTGATTAACAAATGATTATTTTCCTTACGAATTAATCTGCTGGTTATTTTCTCCATAAATTTATTAATTGTTTCATTTGTAAAAATGTCGTCACAATCACCCAGACCTCAAAATGGCACCTTTACAACACTTGTGTTGTCCAACCAGCAGTCCTAGAAGAGAAGTTCATGTTACTGCAGCAAGAGACAGGTAGAAAAAAAGAGGTTAAAAATCTAAATAGAGATATTTAAATGGAAAAAAGATGATGATAAAAGAGCAAAGTAGTGTCTTAGAATTTATAAAAACAAGCCCAGTACATGATTATTTTGGGTGTTATGGTGAGAAACAGGTAGCTACACAATGCAAAATATAAATAATGAATGCAATATATTTTAAAAAGTTATTAGTGGTGCGAATTTACATAAACACAAATAATGTAAGTGCACACAAAACAATTCACATCCAAGATTTTTCCATATGAATTTATTTCTTCATAAAGATATAAAAAAAATACGATTACTGATGCAAAATCACTGATTCTATAAAGTTCTATATGAATACATACCTCAATAGAAATAATGGAGTCTTGTTTCTGTGGACATTTATTACATGATGTTTTGGAACTCTTGGAAACTTATATTGAATGACATATTTGCAAACATAAGATAAAATCTGTGCAATCACATAAAATGGCTTTATTCTTAATGTCCATCCTTGATACATATTTCAACTCATCAGACACATTAGTGGGTTCAACTCACCAACCAAATCATTCTCAATTCATTAAAAGAGAAAATACAGCGATCATTACCAATGAATATTTTCTGTCTTAAAGGTCCAATGTGTAAAATATAGGGGGGCTCTTTTTACAGAATACAGCAGAAACAGAATATAACATTTCACTATGAGACATTTTTATCTACAGAGGGAACAGGTCCTCTTTCTACAGTTCACCACCAGATGCCACACACTGCTCCTTTAACACTGACCATGCAAAGTCAAGTAATTGGTCTAAGTGTTTCTTTTGATAGGAGTGATGATCAGAGGGGCGGAGTTTTTACCGCCATCATTAGGGCAAGGACCAAAGTACAGATAAAGTTTCTCTGTGAAGGAGCAGCCAGTAAAGCAATGCATAAGAGCTGCTGTATGTACATCATAAAAGGAGACCAGTCCCTCCTCGTAATCCACAAACACCCCCACCTTCTGAGGCCTCCACTTCAGACGGAGATAGACATCGGGATCAGCAAAAGCTTTGTACTCATTTCTGTTTCTCAAACATATAGTCCAGTAACCCTCCTGAGGCCGCGGGGGGGTGTTCTCTTTCCTGTTTATAGACTCACTGATCACTCCTAAAGTCCATTTAGTCTTTCCTTCGACTTGAACCTCGCAGTAAAATCTGCCTGAAGAGAAACTCTGCTTTCCTAAAACACACAGAGAATTAGAAAATCTCTCTGGGTTGTCTGGGAGATTCTTCTTTACATCACAATGACTGACTTGTTTCCTATCATCAGACAGGTTGAGTTCAGGATGTGCTGTATTAGGATCAAGAGTGACGTTTATGGCATATCGCTGGACCCTGATCAGATTAGAAACACGGAGCTCAGTAAACTCTTTATTGAGTTTCTCCTCCAACTGAGACGCAGCTCTCACCACAGTCCCTTCGTATGACAGTGGGTGGACGTTGAGCTCTGTCCAGTCTTTGGTGGGGGGAGCTGCTATCAGGGATGGGGCGCATTGGAGGAGCTGAAGGTGGTCTTCAGAGAGTGAGAGCTGCACCACCTCAGCTCCTCTCTTCTTCAGCTCAGAGATTTCTTGTTCTACCTCTTTGACGAGGTCTTCAGTCTGTTTCTGTGTCGTTCTCTGCTTCTCTTCAATTGTGTCAATGAGCTCATTCAGGCCTCTTTCAACAGACTGCATCAGAGTTGTGAATACCCGAACACCTTCTGCTATCTCTCTCTCTGCATTTTCATTGCTGAAGCTGAATGATCGTTTGAGCTCCTGAATCTTCAGTTGTCTCTTCTGGATCATCTGCTGAATTTCAGCCTCTGTCTTCCCCAGCTCTGCTTTCTTTTCTTCATATTCTTCTCTCAGAGGAACAAACTCATGTGTCTTGTGATCTAAAACAGGGCAGAGCATGCAGACACATGTCTGGTCGGTCTTACAGAACAGCTCCAGAGGTTTATCGTGCTTCATACACATCCTGCCTTCCAGGTTCTCCACAGGGTCGATCAGCTGATGTCTTTTCAGGCCTGACACAGTCAGATGAGGCTCCAGGTGAGTCTCACAGTAGGAGGTCAGACAATCCAGGCAGGACTTCAGGGCCTTCAGTTTGGTTCCAGTGCAGACGTCACAGGGAACTTCTCCTGGTTCGGACACTTGTTGCTCTGAGCTGCTGCTGCTGGCTTTCTGTTCAGCTTCCTCTCTGAACTGAGCAACCATCTCAGAGATAAAAGTGTTGATGTGCAGTTCTGGTTTTGTGGTAAAAACCTTTTTACACATGGGACACTTCCACAGGACATTCACATTCCAGTGTTCAGTGATGCAGGTTTTACAGAAGTTGTGTCCACATGATGTGGTGACTGGATCAGTGAACACATCCAGACAGATGGAGCACAGGAACTGATCTTCAGATAGCAGACAGTTGGCTGCAGCCATATCTACATATTGGGAACAAAAGTGAAAGTGTGAAATCAGTTCACATATAACTTGGTGTTTTTTGTTGAAGAAACATTTGAGGAACACTAAGGACGTACGGTAGCTGTGAGCATTACCTGACTTTGCAGGAGAAGCAGTGAAGGGAAAACAAACAACCACCTGCAAAAACGAGCTTACTCAAATCGAATATTTAAGAAGAAAACAAAGAATGAGCAACGCTAACAACTGAAGGAGGTTGGACTAAGTTCCTGTTTTGAAATTACAACCAGGGATACTGGAAGTCAGTCACAGATGGGGAAGCTGAGAGAAATTCAGTCTATAATGACATCGTACTAAATACTTAATGCATGACATTCAAGGTTTGTGCATTAATTTGAATGACCAGGACAATTTAAAGCTTATTTAATAGTTAACATAATTTCACTGTTTAACAAAATTGTTTAACATTTTAACAGATAAAACAGATGAAAAATAAAAAACACGTTCCTGCCATAAATGCCAGTTCAGCATTTTTATGAACTTATGGTTTTCCTCAGCAGCCCTATTTCCAGCAACAGCAGGAGGCATCTGTAACTCAAACAAGATGACACGCCCACTGCTATCGCCGTTCATGAGAAGTTCCTGTCACAGTACAACTGAATTTTGTTGTTTCCTGCTTGTTGGAAAAGTTTCTCTCCGTTGCTTGAAAGAGGATACGTACCAACATTAAAAAGTGAAAGACTGCAACACTGAATGGTGAACATTATCAGATGTACTCACCAGTGTTTGTCAGAGACACTGCTATGCTGTGGAGAAAGGCCTGATGAACGCTTGAATTTTAACTTATGGAGAGAGAGAGAGAGACTTGTCTCGACTTCAGCTCTACAGTCACTCTGACTAACTTTCAGTTTCATCAGAGAAATGTTGCAGGCGGGACTTTCCTCTCAGGCTGCTTATCCCGGCTCCTTAGGAGGGTCCACCCCCCTATTCACACACCATTGGCTCTAACCTCAACCCAAACAACAGCAGATATTTGATTGGTATAACTGGGCTGTATATGTTTAGAGAGATGCCTGCCTGTTTCAGGATAAACAAAGGCAGGTTTTTTGCCTCCTTCAGATTTGGACAATGTACATCCCCATATATAGTGTTTCGTTTGTCCATTTGGAAACATCACACTGGTTATTGTGGATCAAAACAGCTTTTACCAAATTGTTTTAATAATTACATTGTGGTGAGAATATATAATAACTGCCAGAAACAACATTTTTTGAAACACAATGTAATGCTGTAAGGAGATTCCTCGGTGTACAAAGTGCAGGACTGTCAACGTCCAGGGTTCATGTCCAGACTTTTGGTGGAAAACACATGAAATATATTGTCAGAGAACATTTTACTGATACGTTCAGTATCAACATTTTTGCGACTTGCCAGGCAATGCAGTAATTACAGTACCAATAAGGTTCAGCTCATCCAAAATAATTGTTTTATCTTGGTATTCATTAGTGAGTTTAGACTTCACTTTATACTTAAAATGTTTAATCCAGCAGGTGACAGTATATTTAAAAAACAGTCATGATAACTCAATGATGAGATACAGATTTTATTTGGTTATAGATATTATTACAGGTAAACTGAAAATGAATACAATCTCAGTTGTAGCTTTTCTTATTCCTGTGTATTATAAAAACAAACCCAAACCCAAAGCAGCTTCACCAGTATCACAGAAAATAAAAGTAGGAAAATCAAATCAAATATGAACATACATTATTGATCTGAGATACATAAAGGGAGAAAATTAAAACCAATTTGTACACTTCCTTGCAAAAGTATTTGAGATAAAGACTGAGATTACAGAACATGCTCTGTGAGCACCTTATAGGGCTACCAGGTACCCTCAGGCACCACGTTGGAGACCCCTGATCTTCACAGTATTAAGACTCCTTAATACCTGCCTACCTGCCTGGGCCCTTAATGTAAATTTCTCTCTCTCCCTCTCTTTCCTGTCCATATCTCCAGCTGTAACTGTCTAATAAAGCATAAAATGCAAAAAAAAAAAGGACGCATTTTCTACCCTGTACAACGATATACAGTTTGTTGTTTGTTTTGAGATTTGTCACCACAACATAACATAAGAGAGCTAATAAGTCATATTGATGTCTTCCACCAGATTGCAACTGAGTAACGGGATACATGAAATTTAGTACACTTAAGTTTATGATAACAATACCACACTGGAGCGCACTTTGGACCGAGATGCTCAACCTCAACACTTCTCTTATTCAGCTGGCCCTAAGGATGTTTTTCACGCTGTTTGATGATCCACTGTGTTTGTCTGCAGCATAAAGCCTTTAGGATTATTCTGTCATGAGCCAAAGTGTTGAACAAGTGGACATTTCCTTCCTGCCACATTGTGACACCAGATAAAAACTCATAATAAGAATTCCTCCTCTGGTGACCATTTTTAGTGGTCAGTGTTACAGATCTTTTTTGGTTTTGTCAAATTAAAGTAATCAATTTATGGCGTGAGTCTTACTGCAGTCTAAAAACGATCAGTCCACTCAGTTGCATTCACAGAAGAGAGGACCAGAGGGGCGGAGTTTTTACCACCATTAATCAGACCAGGGTTGAAGTATGGGTAGAGTTTCTCAGTGAAGGAGCAGCCAGTAAAGGAGTAGATAAGAGCTGCATCATCTACATCGTAAAAGGACACCAGACCCTCCTCATAATCCACAAACACGCCCATTTTCTTGGGTTTTGACGTCAAGAAGAGACAGACTGGAGGGTCATTAAGAGCTTTATACTTAATTCTTTTTCTCAACCATATAGTCCAGTAACCATCCTCAGGGCTCAGTGGGATGTTATCCTTCCTGTTGACCGACTCTCTGGCCACTCCCAGATCCCACTCAGTCTTTCCTTTGACTTCAACCTCGTAGTAGAATCGGCCTGAAGAGAAGCTCTGCTGTCCTAAAACACAGGGATTGATAGAAAATCTCTTTGGGTTGTCTGGGAGATTTATCTTCACATCACCAGGATTTACTTGTTTCCCATCAGCAGACAGGATGAGACAGGGATGTGCTGTATCAGGATCAAGAGTCACATCCACTGCATACTGCTGGACCCTCTTTAGCTCGGCTTCAAGCAGCTTCCTCATCTCTGCACATAGTGTCTCCTCCACAGCTCTCACCACAGTCCCTTCATACGACGGTGGATGGATGTTGACCGTTGTCCAGTCTTTGGTGAAGGGAGCAGCTTTCACAGATGAGAAGCTTTGGAGGATATTGAGGTGGTCTTCATAGAGTGAGACTTGCTCCACATCAGTGCTTGTCTTCTGCAGCTCAGAGATTTCCTCTTCCAGCTCTTTGATGAGGTCTTCGGTCTGTTCCTGTGTCGTTCTCTGGTTCTTTTCAATCGTCTCAATGAGCTCATTCAGGCCTCCCTCAACAGACTGCATCAGGGTTGTGAAGACCTGAACACCTTTTGCTTTCTCTCTGTCTGCGTTTTCTGTACTGACACTGAATGACTGTTTGATCTGCTGAATCGTCAGTCGTCTCTCTTGAATCATCTGCTGAATTTCAGCCTCCAGCTCTGCCTTCTTTTCTTCACATTCTTCTGTCAGAGGAACAACATCATGTGTCTTGTGGTCTAAAACAGTGCAGAGCACACAGACATATGTCTGGTCGGACTTACAGAACAGCTCCAGAGGTTTATTGTGCTTCATACACATCCTGCCTTCCAAGTTCTCCACAGGATCAGTCAGCCGATGTCTTTTCAGGCTGGAAGCTTTCAAATGAGGTTCCAGGTGAGTCTCACAGTAGGAGGTCAGACAATCCAGGCAGGACTTCAGGGCCTTCAGTTTGGTTCCAGTGCAGACGTCACAGGGAACTTCTCCTGGTTTAGACACTTGCTGCTCTGAGCTGCTGCTGCTGGCTTCCTCTCTGAACTGAGCAACCATCTCAGAGATAAAAGTGTTGATGTGCAGCTCAGGTCTTGTGTTAAAAAGCTTTTTACACATAGGACACTTCCACGGGACATTGAGATTCCAGTGAATAGTAATGCATCTTTTACAGAAGTTGTGTCCACATGATGTGGTGACTGGATTAGTGAACACATCCAGACAGATGGAGCACAGGAACTGATCCTCAAATAGTCGACAGTTGGCTGCAGCCATATCTACACATTGGGAACACAAGTGAAAGTGTGAAAGGAATTCAACCCTACTCTTGTTTGTCGTTTGATAACTCATTTGAGGAAGATTCTTTTCTCTTACAAGTGGCTACGGTGTTTCAGCTTTGAGCATTAGTTGACTTTGCAAAAATAGATAAACAACCACAAGTTGAAAAAAAATCCACCCCTTAAACATGCTAACTCAAACTGACCACTGAAGAAGAAAACAAAGACTGAGCCAGACTAACGTCTTAGGGAGTTTGTGGTTCTCACTAAATGTTTAACAACTGATTATAGGTAGTTATATGTTGTCCCATACTTAGTAAACTAATAGATTCAGAAAAATATTCTGCATACTGGGAGCATTTTCCTTTCCCCCCACTTTTTAATGAAAATAAACCAAACTATATTATACCATGTACTCACCAGTGTTTGTCACCTCTTGGTTTTGGAGAAAGGCCTGATGAACTCTTTAATTTTCTTTTAGAGAGAAACTAAGAGACTCATCTCGTCTTCAGTTCTACTGTCACTCTGAGAAACTTTCGGTTTACATTGGGGGAATTTTATTTCAGCCTTGTATTTCCTTATTGTGCCTTATATCAGTAAGGACTCACTTGCAGGCAGAGTTTCCTGTCAGACTGCATACTAGTCCTGCCTCTTTTGGTGGTTTGACGCAGTTTCAACCTAACCCAAACCTCAACAACACCAGATAAGATTTTATTGGTGTAGCTTGTTTTTATAAGCTTGTTGTTACATATGTGGAAAGGAAAGGCTGCCTGAGGGTCTAATTTCAGGGACAAACTACTTTTGACACCTCTGTCCACTAATCTCTAACAGACATTGTACATCCTCATGTAGATTGTTTTGGAAAGCTGGAACATCACACTGGTTATTTTGGATCAAATGGTTTTCTGATGGACAGCAAATGAGGAACCTGTTTGGTGTAACAAAAATAGCAACAACTGTTTTTTTTGGCAATTCAGTAACTAGGCTTCAGCACCAGTCACGTTCAATGCAGCCAAAATTTCCCCTTGGTGTTTGTTGGTGAGTTACATTCCTTCATACTTATACATACATTTGTACATACTTACATATCCTGTCTTGACATTATATGGCAGCTTTAGGCAGAAACGGTTTATGTGTTGTAGGTTATATCAGATCCCTGGTTAATAATCACAGGCAGGATTCTTAAAAAATGATGTAAACTAAAACTGAATTCAGCACAGAAGCTGTGTCTTAAAAAAGGTATTATTTTAAAGTTTATAGGTGGAAGATCACATGTTATTTCTTCAACATTTGACTTTATCTTAAAGTTAAAGGAGAATCACACACACACACACACACACACACACACACACACACACACACACACACACACACACTGAGAAAATGGCTAATTTGATCATTTGTATAACAAAAAAAAAATTTCATGTACTTTGATCCTGTAATAAAGCAAACAAAACTATGAGCAACAAAGCAGATTTTTTTAATTATAGATATTAATGGTCAAAGATGAAATTATGTTGAACACAAACTCAGCTTTTTAGTACTTCTTTTACAGTATAGCAGGCTACACAATTAAAAAACAAACCAAAACATACCACCATCAAAGGAAATTTAAAAAAAAAAATAATTTCAAATATCAAACAGAAAACCCAGACCATCCTCCCTGCCATTAACTTTATTTTGTTGCATAGTATTAAGGCCAGCTTAGCTTTCCAGCTAATAATCCAAAGGTATACATTAATATGTTTAGTTAATACAAAAATATAAGGTGAATAATATTTGGTAATATCAGACTAAACATTTTAGCTCAGTCTGCCACTGCCTCCCCTGCAAGCTCTCTGTCCTTAGCCAAATCAGATATTTATAGTCATTCAATTAGAAATTTTAAACAATATTTAACAATAAACAAATCAAATAGTGCAAATATACAGTAAGAAGGATATGTATCTCCATATAAACGCTGTTCCAGTTATATAAAGATGAACCTTAGACCTGGACTCTGTCCAGAACTGTACTATCGTTCTGGTGTGAATAATTTGAGCAGCCATATATAAAGTCACAAATCACTGCATGAAGTTATAATACTCTGATCTTCTAACTCTAAGAATCTTCCTCTTTTGGCTCGGAAAGAGGAAGACTTGCAACACAAGTCACAGGACATTTGAGTGAATTTTGTAAATCTGAGTATGAGATCATCAAACCCATGACTTCTATCTTGTGTAATACTGAAGCTTTTTGTAGAATTTAAACTGATTGGTCTATTTAGTGTGATTGACCCGAGATATATTCAGAGGGGCAGAGTTATTGCCATCATCATTGAGACCAGGACAGAAGTATGGGTAGAGTTTCTCAGTGAAGGAGCAGCCAGTAAAGGAGTAGATAAGAGCTGCAGCATCTACATCATAAAAGGAGACCAGACCCTCCTCATAATCCACAAACACCCCCACCTTCTGAGGCTGAGACTGCAGAGAGAGACTGATATCAGGGTCATCAAGAGCTTTGTACTCGTTTCTGTTCCTCAACCATATAATCCAGTACCCATCCTCAGGGCTCAGTGTGATTAGTCCCTTCCTATCAACCGACTCTCGGGCCACTCCTAAATCCCATTCGGTCTTTTCTTTAACCTCAACCTCGTAGTAAAGTTTTCCTGAAGAGAAACTCTGCTCGCCCAGGACACATAGACTGGTAGAAAATCTCTCTGGGTTGTCTGGAAAATTCTTCTTCACATCACCATGTTTAACTTGTTTCCCATCAGCAGACAGGATGAGTTCAGGATGTGCTGTGTCAGGATCAAGAGTCACGTCCACTGCATACTGTTGGACCCTCTTCAGCTCGGTCTCAAACAGTTTCTTCATCTCTTTACTGAGTATCTCCTCCAGCTGAGCCACAACTCTCACCACAGTCCCCTCATATGACAAGGGATGGACATTGAACTCTGTCCAGTCCTTAGCGGGTGGAGCAGCGTTCGAGTACTGCATGTTTTGGAGAAAATATAGGTGGTCTTCAGAGTGTGAGAGCTGCTCCATCTCAGTACTTCTTTTGGTCAGCTCTGAGATTTCCTGCTCCAACTCTTGAATTAAGTCTTCGGCCCATATCTCTTGTGCTCTTTGCTGGTCCTTTATCATCTCAGTGAGCACTGTCTGACCTCTCTCAACAGACTCCTTCAGAGCAGTAAAGACCTGAACACCTTCTGCTATCTCTCTGTCTGCGTCTTTCTTACTGAGGTCCACTGACTGTTTGATCTCCTGAATCTTCAGTTGTCTCTTCTGGATCATCTGCTGAATTTCAGCCTCTGTCTTCCCCAGCTCTGCCTTCTTTACTTCATATTCTTCTCTCAGAGGAACAAACTCATGTGTCTTATGGTCTGAATAGGTGCAGAGCACACAGACACATGTCTGGTCGGTCTTACAGAACAGCTCCAGAGGTTTATCGTGCTTCGTACACATCCTGTCTTCCAGGTTCTCCACAGGGTCGATCAGCTGATGTCTTTTTAGACCTGACATTGTCAGATGAGGCTCCAGGTGAGTCTCACAGTAGGACACCAGACACACCAGGCAGGACTTCAGGGCCTTCAGTTTGGTTCCAGTGCAGACGTCACAGGGAACTTCAGGTTTATCACATTGTTGCTCTGAGCTGCTGCTGCTGGCTTTCTGTTGAGCTGACTGTCTGAACTGAGCAACCATCTCAGAGATAAAAGTGTTGATGCGCAGCTCAGGTCTTGTGTTGAAAAGCTTTGCACATTTGGGACACTTGCATTCGTCATTAGTATTCCAGTGTTCATTGATGCAGGTTTTACAGAAGTTGTGTCCACATGATGTGGTGACTGGATCAGTGAACACATTCAGACAGATGGAGCACAGGAACCGATGTTTAGATGGCAGGCTGCTCACAGAAGCCATATCTTCACACTGAGAACAAAAGTGAAAAAACAACACTTTAATTGCAGATTTTTTTGTTATTTGTATTGCATTTCTGCTTTATTGTGACAGTGATAACGGAAGAGAGTCAGGAAAGACAGGCGAGAGACAGAGAAGGGATGACAGCAAGGAGCAAATTCATGGTAATTGTTTTAACCACAAAGTTGGGGTAATTTGAAAATGTGGGATGTAAAATGATCATAGGACAACAAGTTCATCGCCTTCTACCTTTACTGCCTTCTAAGGCAGAGTGGTTTTAACCTTTTAACCACTGTCATTACAGAGCAATTAAATTGTAAAAGTGCTGTAAAATTGAGCAATGCTCCACCCAGATAATCCCAGTTCAGACAAAAGATTCACGACGAGATTAAACAGTGTTAATCATTTTAGGTACATTACCCAGTGACCATGAGCCCTTTGATAAGCTTTCTGTTATGATTGTATGTGTTGATACCAGGCCAATATTTACCCATATTGCTGGATTGACTTTTACCTCACAGTCAGAAGTTCTACAGGTCTGAAACCAATATCTGTTATCTATCTGGGTCATCATACTATAGCAATAATAGCTAATGAGGACATCAACAAACAGGAAGAACATGAAGTACAAGTGCCCTGCACCACATTGTGGCTAATCCAAATGATATATGCTAATGTATCACCTATGAATTAGACTGTCCAGGCCATATTGTTTTTTACCATACAATATTTGGTTTCCTTTCCCACATGTCACTGTAACACAAAGATCCTCATGCTTAAATAAGTCCACCCAGTATTCCTGTTTTGTTTTCCTCTAACAACACTTCTCTGCCCCTTACTTATTTAATGTTATGTCTGTTATTAAAAATAGTTATTATTACTCTTCTTTCAGAAAAACATCATTTGATTTCTACCATGAAATAAAAAGGTGGAACTTTCTGAGCAGAGAAAACACATAAACGAGAGCTGAAGTTGTTTTTTTCTGCATCCGGCTATTACTGGATCAAGAAACAACAAAGGCAGGAAGGAGTGAAGGAAAGACTTGCAGCAAAGGGTAAATATCATAACAACAGTAAATATCATCAGCTGTACTCACCAGCAGAGACTCTGTTGTGTTGCTGAGAAAGTCTTAATAAACTATATTTTATCTATAAACAGAAACAGAAACAGAAACACTCTTCTTACTTGTAGCTGTGCTGTGGCTCTGACAAACTTTCAGTTTCATTTAAGGAGTGTTTAAGCTTTTCTCTATTGTTGCCCCGCCTGTTCTGTTGTTGGGGGTTTCTGTCCTTTTTCTGCTTTGCACATAATTATATATATATATAGTTCTCTCTGTCTGCAACATTCATATCATCATTTAAAGTTAAGCTCAGCTTTAATGTAGTCTGGTCAGTTATAAAGTTAACTTACCACTTTGTGTTTTGCAAAACCACATTTTGGTGTCTTTGTCCATGACTCATGAATGAACCTTGTGTCACAAACCTAGAAAGGGGAAGTGAGTTATTTCTCAGTGTTCATCATCATAAAATCCGACAATGTGTGATTTAAATGTAATTTTATAAAATGGTAGATGGACTATCTGCTGTAACTCCCAAAGTGAGTGAGGAAAAACTAATAACTAAATACATTATTCATTATTTCATCCCCTTGACAACTCGTGGATTTTTACATTAATATCTGTGTGCTTATTAATTTTTATCATCAAATTTTCTCAGACACTTAAGAATAAAACTTTATTTTTGTGCAGCACACTGATGTAGCATCAGTAGCATCAGTAGCCCTCCTTATTAACAGGGTTACTGCTGCTCCACCTGTTCTGTTGGTGGAGTTTTCTGTCCTGCTTCTGCTTTGTAAATAATAATAGTATAGTATAGTATTTTTTCTATAACAGCCCATAGAAATACAAAAAGAGAAAAGTTATCTAAATGTTCCTATCAACAACAAGCTTGGTTAAAGTTCAGCTCAGGTTTTATATAGTTTTGTCAGTTTTATTTTTATTAAAACAAAGACGTTTTTTCCTTCCCACTGTCGCCAAGTGCGTGGGTCTAATAATTGTATAAGGTGTGTTTGGTCAATATGAAAAGTGTCCTGCGATAATATCTGTTATAATTTGGTGCTATAGAAATACATTTTCATTTAATTGAACTAGTCCTGATGAACTGTCGACCTGTCCAAGGTGTTCCCCACCTCTCGCTCAGTGTCAGCTGGGATTGACTCCAACCGCCCTGCGACCCTGCAAAGGATAAATGGGGTTAGATAAAGAATGGATGGATGGATGGATGAATTGGACATTTTGGTGTGTTTGGCAATGACAGAACTTTGTGGCAAAAGCACAGATTTCTCAGCACAACATGTTTTAATGATCAAACTCGTGCCACGCCCAACACGCTCGACTCTGCACTCACTTGGGTCCTCAGCAATACAACTGCCAAGTGTGAAGTGGATGGAATGAACGGTTCTTGAGAAAAAGGACAGTCATACATACGGACACTTACTCCTTCCTTTATAGTTAGATGATGCTGCTACGGCGCCACCTAACGGCCAAATTGCACCAAAATCGACACTTTACTTCGTTGAGACCTGAGCAGTTCGCCTGCCAGACAGAGAGTCCTTCTATTAGAGTTTAATTAGATCACAAAAAGGGTCGTCCCACCAACAGATTTCATACTGAATCAACACTTTATTTCATTCTTAAGGGACACCTTTTCTATCATTGACCTAACAGCCCAAAGTAAACGACAAAATATATGTATATATATATATATATATATATATATTATATTCAGTTCATAACAATAACAATACTGAGCTGAAACTGTAAATAACTGCAGGTTGTTTGTGTAAAACAAGCGATTATTTCCTGTGAATATTGATCAGAGATGACTTTCATGACATTTTCTATTTAATTCTCTGTCTGTATTATATTTTTATTTATTTATTAACAATCATACAGACTTAATAGGCTTCCTTTTTGACAAATTCAGTGTTTTCTTCTTCCTGTTCTATTAACTCTTTGGGTGTTATATAACTGTGTAATTTTTTAATGCAGGACGATGAGATATAGGCCTACTGTGTTGATGTTTTAACACCAAATCAAGATGACCTTGTGGATAGGATAGAGAGGCGGGAGGAAGTCATTTTAACTGGATTAAGATTTGATCACATGGGTCTAAACAAAACTGTAAAAATGGATCAAGAGTAGTGAACAGAGACTCGTCAGGTACTAGGACCAAGTGGAAAACGGCCGCTCAAGCTGAAGCCTGTTTCCCTTGGTTTAGACCCGCCCACAAGCTCCTGATTGGCTCTGCTGTGTCTTGTGTGATTGGCCGTCCCCGCTGTCACTCCATCTGGCTTGCACACTTTATTAATCTGCCTCTGTAAATGGGGCTTTTGTTCTGCCTGGGTCAGGTCAGCTAGAAGGATTGTAATATCAGAGGTTTCATTTACATTAACGTTTGAATCGGAAGGTAGAGAGCGGAGAGTGGGGACAGCTGGAGATAAAGGATGCACAGAAAGCCATAATAGAATTTATAGGATACAAGTTTATATGTCAGGATGTAGTGAAGTCAGGATAGTTGGGTGAGGTGAGGTTCTAGCTTTATATATTTGTTAGATAACAATGTAAAACCCATTTCTACATACCCCGGTATTGTAGGTGGCTTTGGAAGACCATAAAATAATTAATTAAATAGTGAAATAATTATGTGTTTTTTACACAAAATGAATCGGTATTTTAATGAATTAATGACACATTAAATAACACATAGATAGATAGATAGATAGACAGACTTTATTAATCCCCAAAGGGAAATTGGGTCGTCATAGCAGCCAGGTACATTAAAATACAATAAAATACAATAGAATAAAATACTTATATAGAAAAGATAAAAAAAGATAAATAGGTATGTAAGGTGCAAAGAGTTGTAGTTGCAAGATGGTGGTAATAGTATTGAAGACATGATGGTAGTGTTATTGTTAATAACAGTATATAATGATAATATTAATAATACTTATAATAATAATATGTATATATAATATGATATTATTATTATTTATGTATTTAATTCCAATTTTAATTAATTAATGACACATTCAAGTAATTGTTTAATGGTGTATTTATTATTTAATTTTGCCACCTTTAATCCTCCATAGCATGGCGGTTTGCATTTTCAAAGTAAACGAAAAGAAGAAGGGCGAAGAAAAGGCTTTTATTCTGAAGGGATCCCACCAGAAGCGTTAGGCGTGTTTCTTCCGGTAGCTCGGTTAGCTTGCCGTTAGCAGAGTGTGCGGGCAGGAGGAAGCTTCTGCGGGATTCAGGGAACCAACATGGACAGCCAAGGGAGGAAAGTGGTGGTCTGTGACAACGGAACCGGGGTGAGTTTCAGAACCGGCGGGGGTGACGAATCTGTCCTCGTGCCGCGCGCTCAGCCTTCACGCGCAAACGGAGAGAAACAGGAAGTAACGGGGAGCTAACAGGCTAACCGTTAGCTCGGTGTGGGTGGGTCAGGAATGTGTCTGCACGGTGGGGGGGCAGACAGACAGACAGACAGACAGACAGACAGACAGACAGACAGTCGGATCGATCTGTGCACCTTTTTATTTCTTTACAAATAAAATTAAAACAAATTAACACAGTTAAAGTGCAGTGACGGAGTGCGCATGCGTGAGGTGGCTTTTGGTTGCGGAAGTTGACACAGTTCTTACCATGTAAGGAAAGTTAATGCACACACACACACACTAACACACACACACACACACACACACTCACACACACACACTAACACACACACACTAACACACACACTAACACACACACACACACACACACACACTAACACACACACACACACACACACTAACACACACACACACACACACAACACACACACACACACTAACACAGACACACACACTAACACACACACACACACACTCACACACACACACACACACACTAACACACACACACTAACACTATCACAACACACACACACACACTAACACACACACACACACACACAAACATACACACACACACACACACACACACACACACTAACACACACACACACACACTAACACAACACACACACTAACACACACACACACACACACACACTCACACACACACACTAACACTATCACTAACACACACACACACAAACAACACACACACACACACACACACACACACACTAACACACACACACTAACACTATCACAACACACACACACACTAACACACACACACACACACACAAACATACACACACACACACACACACACACACACACACACACACACACACACACACACACTAACACACACACACACACTAACACACACACACACACACACTAACACTATCACTAACACACACACACACAAACAACACACACACACACACTAACACACACACACACACTAACACACACACATTAACACTATCACTAACACACACACACACACACACTCACACACACACACACACACAAACATACACACACACACACTCACACACACACTCACACACACACACTAACACTATCACTAACACACACACACACACACACACACACACACACACACACACAAACATACACACACACACACACTCACACACACTCACACACACACACTAACACTATCACTAACACACACACACACACACACACACACACACACACACAAACAACACACACACACACTCACACACACTAACACACACTAACACACACACTAACACACACACACACACACACACACTAACACACACACACACACACACAAACACACACACACACACTCACACACACTCACACACACACACTAACACTACTGAGGTTAGAGACCCAGCTGTTTGACTTACAGACATCATAAGCTCACAGATATCGGCATAAACACAGATCCACTGACCCAGTTTAACATTCTGCTCACACACACTTCTTGTTTAATAGTTTAATATATTGTATAATATATTTATAGTAAATATATTTATATAATATAAATAAATTAGTGTATGTGTGTGTGAGTATATGATATTGTGTATTTGTATGTATATATAAAGCTGCTGCTTCACTTCCTGCGTGTGCTCCACACCAACTGCATTCAGTATGAAGGAATAATCCTTTTGAATATGTTGAAATCGTTAATAAATCATAATTATTAAAGCTGTTCTGAAGGAGAAGGTTCAGTATATACAGTATATATCATCTTATATTGATCGATATATTAATATTATTAACCTGTTAAATAAAACATTGCACATGCACGTTGATTTTATTCTTTCTCTGCTGTTTATGAAGGTTTCTCTTTTACATGTGTAACACAGTTTATTTTATTAAACATCACATTTTATGTCTGTTTATAATCGTATTGTAACAAACGACTCAGTATAAGAGCTTAAATCCGTCTGGAAACCTTCAGGATTCAGCATTTACTCACTAATTCACACCTATACGATGTTTGTTCTGAATATTTTAATCTCTTTCAATCTCATCCTAGTTCGTCAAGTGCGGCTATGCAGGCTCCAACTTCCCCGAACACATTTTCCCGGCGCTGGTTGGCCGGCCAATCATCCGCTCCACGGCTAAAGTCGGCAACATTGAAATCAAGGTAATTTCACGGAGTCTGTTTTCGTTCACGATCCCGATTCGTTGGATGTGTCAGGACGACGTTGGGCTTTAGACGGCAGCATGTAAGTGATGAAATATGAGAGAGCAGCGAGGAGTTCGTTATCCGTCGGTGGCTCTGAGTTACATTAAGTAATCACTTGTTCTAATGTAATCCTGTAGAAAATGGAGCACTGTAGTTAGAAGGAGAAACGTGTTGATGTAAAGTAGATATCTGAGGGAATTTACCAGTTTAACTTCTAACAATTGTTCTAAGCAGCTTATAAAACACCATTAAAAAGACGAATGCCAGGAGTTTTACAATCATTTGTTTCCTGATGATTTGAACTGTGTAAATAACAACAGCAGACGACGATAACAAAGTGAAATGATAAAACTCTTAAACACTTAAATTATTATTATTTATTAGTCTGGAGATATTTAAGCAACTTTTATTAACGTTTAATTTGTTGCAGAAATAAAGTGAGGGATGTTCTTAAAGTCACTGTTAGAGCTGTGGAGGTATTATTAGTACTTTAGTGTCTGAGCTACAGAAACAGAGATTAAAGAAAAGTGCCAGTTAAAATCAGTTTGCTAAAACCGCTGACCTTTGACCTCTCGCAGGACCTGATGGTGGGGGACGAGGCCAGCGAGCTGCGCTCCATGTTGGAGGTGAACTACCCCATGGAGAACGGCATCGTCAGGAACTGGGACGACATGAAGCACCTGTGGGACTACACCTTCGGCCCCGAGAAACTCAACATCAACTCGCGCGACTGCAAGATCCTGCTGACCGAGCCGCCCATGAACCCCACCAAGAACAGGGAGAAGATTATAGAGGTGGTGTTTCAGTTCGTTAGGGATCCTAATTGATCATAAAACATTATAAAGTAGTGAAGTGATGCTCTGTGTTTCTCCTGCCAGGTGATGTTTGAAACGTACCAGTTCACAGGAGTTTATATCGCCATCCAGGCCGTCCTCACGCTCTACGCTCAAGGTACCGATACGCTGGAATAAAAATAGATCTTTCTTTTTGGACGTTTGAGTCCTCGCCACCGTCCGCTCAGCTCTGATACTCTGATACATGTGCTGACTGACAGTGTTGGAAACTGTGGAGTCGCAGCGCGCTCTGCTGGACAAACCAAGTGATGACACCATTTCTAAATACCACAAAGTCAGGCTGTCCCCGAGTACAGATTCTCTTATTCCTTGAACGTTTCTGATATTAATTTAATTTAATTTAAATACATGGAGACATAGACACAGCCTGTTAAACGCTAACAGTAAATGTGTCAGAACAGAATAAAGAACTTCCTGTCGCTGTTAAACCTCTGACTTAAAGGTACGAGAGCTGACTGATGCACATTGTTTTGTTTTAGGTTTGCTGACCGGCGTGGTGGTCGACTCTGGTGATGGCGTCACTCACATCTGTCCGGTGTACGAGGGCTTCTCGCTGCCCCACCTGACCCGACGCCTTGACATTGCGGGGAGGGACATAACACGCTACCTCATCAAGGTACCGGCTGCACCGCTCAGTTAAGAACTATAAAGAGGAAAGGTAATGTATTGTGCCTGTAGTCTATAACACCGATAACCACCGTCCTCCCTGTGCTGACCGCCAGCTGCTGCTGCTGCGAGGATACGCCTTCAACCATTCGGCTGACTTTGAGACGGTGCGGATGATGAAGGAGAAGCTGTGCTACGTCGGTTATAACATCGAACAGGAGCAGAAGCTGGCGCTGGAGACCACCGTGCTGGTGGAGTCGTACACGGTGAGTCAGGATCATGTTTTATGAAGCGTGCTGTAATCAGAGAGTTGAACAGCGTTAAGACGTCGTTGCATTTCTGTCCGCAGCTCCCCGACGGCAGGGTGATCAAGGTGGGAGGTGAGAGGTTCGAAGCCCCCGAGGCGCTGTTTCAGCCTCACCTCATCAACGTGGAGGGCGTGGGTGTGGCCGAGCTGCTCTTCAACACCATCCAGGCCGCAGATATCGACACCAGGTGAGCTCTCGGGAACGCCTCCTCTCTGATTCACGTATTTTCCTGCCTGGTGTGTGTTCAGATTTCTCAAACAAATCAACTATAACGAACACACCAAATCCCTCGATGTGGAACACATTTACGCTTTCTAAAGAAATCGGTCGTACTTTTTGTCAGGTCTGAGTTCTACAAGCACATCGTCCTCTCCGGAGGCTCCACCATGTATCCCGGCCTGCCGTCCCGCCTGGAGCGCGAACTGAAGCAGCTGTACCTGGAGCGAGTGCTGAAGGGAGACGTCGACAAACTATCGGTGAGTAAAACAAATAACAGCAACATCAAGTGTCCCCTCTGATCATTTCACTTCATGACAAACCCTGTTATTAGGATTTATTGCTAATAATAGACTCGACTGACGAAATGCAGCTCGAAGTCCTCTCCACTGCCGAACCAAAATCCAGTGGAAGAATCTTATTGGAACCAGGAACCAGAGCAAACACCTGGAGATTTAAACTCTAGTTTTCCAGTCATGCAAAACACCTGGAAATGTATTAAAATGACCAAATATCCTGGAAATAATCAATGTTGTCGAGCTAACACAGAGTGCTGTCCTGTATTATCAAGAAAAACTCCTGGAAAAGGATTTCTTAAACGGAGTAGGAGCCCTGTAACTTCCCTGCAGCACTCTTGAACTCTTGATCTTGATTGTTAGCTCATGTGCACTTGATAAATGTGCAGCTCTGAGTTGTACATATAATGATAAGTGTGCTCCACACGTTTCCATCCTCGATTTTCATCTTATTTCAATGTCATTGGGTTAATCAGTGACAGATGTTAGTGGATTATACAATATATCACTGCGTCTTCCCCAGAGCTTTCTTCTGCAGTACCTATATTTGCCACAAGGGGGTAGTGAAGCCACAGTCTTGCCCTCCACAGCTCAGAAACGTCTCTCTTTGTTGGTCCCGTGATGACAAGGTGAAATATAACCTCTCATTGTTCCTACGTCTCTCCCTGAGAGGAAGCACGCTCTGCTGCTCCTGCAGCCGCTCGGGGAAATCCTCCAACCTGTAATTAAAAGACAATCTTCTCCAGTCTATTTCAGGGACCTCACAGGGCGGCGGGGGTTTCAACACGTTATTATCTCTTCCTTTTCTCTGTTAACACTCTCTGCTCTTCTCTCCACCTCTTCTCCACCGCAGAAATTCAAGATCAGGATAGAGGACCCCCCTCGGCGTAAACACATGGTGTTCCTGGGCGGCGCCGTGCTGGCCGACATCATGAAGGACAAGGACAACTTCTGGCTGACGCGGGAGGAGTACCAGGAGAAAGGGATGCGAGTGCTGGAGAAGCTCGGAGTCACCGTCAGATAAAACACAAACAAACACTTCCCACTCCCCCACACACACACCCACCCACCGTCCCTCCATCTACCCCCCCCCATCAACTGATATCCATGCATCGCTTATCTTGATGTGTCTGGATGGTCACACTGTGTCTTCGATTCACGCTCGTTTTGAAAAGAGGGACGGATGGAAGGAGGGAGGAAGGATGTGGAGTTGTGGGAAGTTGTTTAATATTTGCCCAACGACACAAAAAAAATACTGAGAATTAGGTTTTTGAGATGTAGTGCCATAAAGTGCTTCAGCGCCGTTCAAAGGAACAGTAACACTTGAGGAAAATATGCTTATGTGCTTTCTTGGTGAGACTTAGATGATAAGAGTGATGCCACTCTTATATCTGCCATTCAATATGAAGCTGGAGCCAGGAGACGGTCAGCGTAGCTTAGCATAAAGACGAGTATGAAGCTTCATGTTTTAGGGAGCGGGTTTCTGTGCTGGACCGTTTCGACTCGTCGTCGCCGCGAGCGAGGATTTCTAAACGTTGTCCTTTTACTGTTCAGCCGCCGTAACGTAGATGACGGGAGAGAAGAGATGATAAAAATGTTCCCAGAATTCCCAGAGAACCGGTTTGTCCAATATGCCTCCGAGCTTATTGATTAAACTTTTATCATTGTCGGCATGTTTTCCTGACAGTTGCACTTTGCATGAAAAGAAGTTAAACTCACAACATGAAGGACGAAGAAATGGTCCAAAAACTCAAAGCTGTTTCTCCGCTGTATTCAGACTTTAGAGGTTATAAAACAGTTGAGTTGATCAGGAATCAATAAATAAATAAATGTGCAGCCTGCAGACACGACTCAGGGCTAAGACAGTGCTTCACCTCCTCTGCCTGTTTTTTTTTTTTTGGGGGGTAAATCATGTTTATGAAGTCCGGTTAACAATGTTGAGGTTCACGTAGCAACATCTGTTTGTTATTTATCCATTAATTAATGTAGTTATATGATGATTGTTATGAAATGTGCAATAACCGATTTCTATAACTATCTCGATGAAGTCCTAATAATCACAGAACGGTGCTGGATGGGTACAGGTGGGTTTATGTTACCTTTGGGCAGAGCTAGGCTAGCTGTTTCCCTCTGTTTCCAGTCTCTAAGCTAAGCTAACTTTTTGATGGTGAAGCTGGTACCACACGCCTACCTGTGCAGTAAATATCAGCCGGTTAGCTTAGCTTAGAGACTAAACTTGATTATCTCGGAAGCAGAAATAAGCATATTTCCCAAAATACCGACCTATTCCTTTAAAGATTAAATCATTAAATCGATGGCGTTAAAAAAAGTTCAAACTCATCAGTTAACTTTGATAAAGTGGAGATATTCTAAGAGCCCGAATGAGTGATTAATTATTATTATTACTATTATTATTATTGTTATTGTTATTAATGATGCATTTGAGTTCCTTTCCAAAAACGAGACCTTGAAAACCGCCATGTGAAAAATGTGTCACCTAATCTGTCGAAACAGATGCTGGCATTAAAACGAATGCTCAGTGTGGAGCGCTGCAGAGATATCTGAGCGAATAGATCCTCACAGACTGCGTCTTTTAAAATACTGATTGTCAGATAACATCCTCCCCCTCCCCATCCCCTCGCTGTCCCTGTCAGGACGCCATTTTTAACTCCTCGTTTGTCTTAATTTGCGTCTTGGTTGGGACGTTTGCTTGCTTCGTGAGCAGTTTGCATCCTCCGCGAGAGAGTGAATATGAAGATGTGAGATGAACACATGGGGAAGGTTTGATTTGTGGTGGGGAGGTTTTTGGAAGCAGGCCAGTTGGAGCTTTTAACAGGGTTTGATTTTGGGCGTCTCTGTATCCAGTTTATCACCAACCAATCTCAGATCACACGGGACTGTTTCCATTCCTCAACGAAGCATCAAGTCATTCCTTAGTCTCGACCCAGGATTGTCTTATCAGCGTCCTGGATCGCCGCCTCCACAAGGTCGGACATTTCAGTCACTGAGCAGCTCTTAAAGTTTGCTTCAGGAAGAGTAAATTAAAAGTATGAACTGGGCTGCGTGGTAGCCGTCGTTTTATTGACGTTAGGGAGGTTGTAAAGTAGAGCTGATCAGATACTGATGCCAGTAGCAGTAATTCCTCCCATACGGCCTAAAATGTGGGCAAAAATGGGATTCAACTCTTTTCAGCTTCTGATGGAGGACAAGTCTTTACCAAGATTGCTCTACAGGCGTCAAATGTTTGGTAAAAACTTTACCATTCATGTAGTATTAGTTCTTTTCCTGACAGGTTTTATCTACTTACAGCTCAGTGACTGAAATGGATTCAGGGCTGTGATAATATGTGCTGGATCATCACTTCTCTTGTGACATTCATGCACCGTGCTTTCAATTCCACTGAGGCTCCATCAGCTTCTCCTTTATTTTATATATTTCTGACACTTTTGCTTCTTTTTATGTTCCTGAACGTCGATGTGCTTTTTGTTTCAGAGTCCGGGCTTCTGCCTTTGGCTCTGAGGGACTGTTAATCTTCTGATTGTACAGCTGTTTGCTGACCTGTATCATTCAATGAGGGGTCACTGTCGTCACAGTAACAGCCGTCATTTTAAAGTCTGGGGAACAAACTGATTGGCTGGTCCTGGGTCAGATGTTTAGGGCCAAAATGAAACATATCCTGGTTTAAAGGGTTAATTTGGGTTTGTTTGAAGCAGGGTTGGATGAGGAACTGATCATGGAAGCTAATCGGTGTACTTCTGTGGACGGAGGCAGCAACAAAGTGTAGTTTAGTCACCAAAGACGTTATAGCCTTATATCGCTCCACCAGACTCCATTGATATAAACAGGGATTTTAGCTCACCGCTGCCTCGATCAGTTTGTGTTATCGTGCGACTTTATTACGTCAGTTTGGATCCGAACTAACGTTAACTGTCCGCGGTGGACCTGCAACTCCCGAGTCCTGCCGCAGAGTTACTGTGGTTTTGTATGTTTCATTAGTTTTTATTCCTATTTTGCTTTTAAATTTTTGTTCTAAATTCAGTTCAGTTTAGTTTCTATTGTTTAATAGTTTTTTTTATTAGTTTCAGTGTATCTAAATTATTTTATTTTAGTTGGTTTTGTAAGTGCACAATATCATTTTTATTTTATTTTAGTTAAGTAAAAAGATTTTCCAGGACTAGTTTTAGTTATAAGGACCTTGGTTCTAAGGTAAAATGACTGTTTTTGTCAATGGAGTCTGGTGGCGTTGAAGAGAACGTGGATGAAGGCTGCTTTTCCAAAACTGTGCCGACCTCCGTCTACTGCAGCCAATACACCGACTGATGGATAAACACCTCATTCAAACCCCACTTCAAATAACCCGAACTAACCCCGTGAGAGGAAACCCAACGATAGGAAATAATTCCATGTCTGGATCCAGAAGGGGAGAAGGAGGTTGTGGATGGAAGAGTCCAACTGTTGGGACCAGAAATGATCTCAGTGGTTGAGGCCGAGTGGAGTATTTTTATTGACCCCACATGAATAATTACTGAGACTTCTGCTGATGAAGAGTCGGCTCCATTTCCATTCCACTGATTGTGAATCTTACGGTTTTCTATCTCCTCGTGGCCACTCTTCTTCCTCCTCCTCCTCCTCCTCCTCCTCCTCGGTCTTGGCTGTACTGAAGATGAATTTGTGGGTTTGGGGTTATGGGAGAGGGTGATTTGTGTGGGTTACTGAAATATTATTTGTAATATTAATAAGAATCTGGTGGCAGGAAATGGAGACCACGTAAAAGCTGGTATTTGTGGTTTTCCGTCGCGGTTCTTATGTGTATATTGGAGGCACTTTGGCTCACACATATAAATATAAATGTATAATTTCCTCCTGACAACACGGTCATCAAGTGCCAAGCACAGTTATTCTTGCTGGATATTATTTTTGGTCGTCCTTTTTATGTTTTGTTTATAGCATAACTGCCAAACCGCTGATTTAAATAAAGCAAAGTGATTTATAGACGCCTGGTGTTTGCCGTGTCTTCTTGTCTTAAATAGACGCTCGTCCTCTTGCTGAGGACAGCAAAACGGGATTAAAGGGAAGGTTTAGGAAGAAGCAGTCCATCTGTTTCCGTGTGGTTTTAAAGATTTCCGGAGCTGACAAAGGACACTGAGTGAATCATGCGGACGGACGGGGGGTGTTGCTGCTTTAGAGGGTCGCTGTTGCTCAACCGAACTCCAGACGCTGGCTGCTTTTAATATGAGACAGTTGCCGTGGCGCTAGCTGAGGAATTCTCACACACTGTGGTCTCCATGGTAACGGGATTCACAACACCACCGGCCCACCTGGATGCCATCACGGCGCCTCCACGTGTTCGGGAAGAAGACGCCCTCACTTTTCTGAGTTGATCATTTTAAAAGTTCGCCGATATTCTTTATTCTTTTTATTGTGTCCACTAACGGAGTCCGATACGTCGTCTTCCTGTTCTATAGAGCACATTAAAAACACATCAGTGAGAGACACTCCTGTTCCTTCCTTCATTACCACAAACACACACTGTAGTTTACCTCCGTACCTCTGTGGCTGTAAAATGAAGAAACAAAAGCTGCAGTTCCTCTAACGACCACCAGAGGCTGGCTCCAGCAGTGAGTCTCCATAAGGCTCCATATTAAACATGTTACAGCCTTTTGGTCTCTAGAGCTAATTTCCCCGTTCTGTAACTGTACAACTCTTGTTACAACAGCTGTTTGAATTATATTAAGTAAGTTAGTGACAGTTGGGCCGTCACAGGCGGCTGTTTTCAGTAACCAGGCTTCATTCAGCTCCGCCTCTTTGACCACTGCTGTATCGGCCGGGAGCCGGTGGAGTCAGGACTGGTGGCGACGGCCAGAGTCGACCACACTGAGCTTCACAGCGGCTCTTCGCGGACCTATCGGGGACGTCACGGAGACTACGTCCATTTTAATTTGTATTATTTTGACCTACAAACCTCTCAAATCTTAACAAAGACCGAATGTGATTATACACTAATGAAAACGTAGCTATGAATATTATATTTACTGCCACTAGATCCTCTGACATAAACTGTCCATCAGCGCTCTTTTATCCGTGTTGAGATTCATTCTTCTCGAGCAGCAGTGGTCAAAACAATCCCATCGGCCAGTATTCACAGATGAACATCCTGTGATATGATCCACAGTAGCTACTGAATGGACCTTGTGCTGCGTCATCATCTTCTCATCACTCCGGGCGGGGGGGAGCAAAGCGCATTTCCCCCCCAAAAGTTTGAACTACTCCTTTAAAAAGGGGTTTTCTGCTTGTTCCACCACATGTTGAAGAGATCTTCTGCAATTCAGATGCACTGGAGAAAAACAATAAAAACAATCACCATAAACAAGGCTTGACCCCCCCGACTCCCCCGCAAGTGTGTGTGTGTGTGTGTGTGTGTGTGTGTGTGTGGGGCGTGTGTGTAAGCCCCCCCCAGCAGAGCAGAGTGTGAGGAATCCAGCGGGCCGGGACGCTCGTCTGGGCCTGATTTACCGAGGCCCCAGTGAGTCTGCCTGCCTCGCTTTGTTTACTCGGATGAAATCTGAAACAAATGTGAGTGCGATAGACCACCAGCCCCGCCAACACCCCCCCTCCCATCCCATCCCCTCCCATCCCATCCTGCTCTCACACAGACACCAGTGTGTGTGTTTGTGTGTGTTTGTTTTCCCAACTCGAGTGCTCGGTCCAGGTGAACTGAAAGATGTCATTTTTAACCCTTTAAGATCGCATCCTCAGTTATATTGTTCCCATATTTAACAATGTGTGACAAAAACATTCTCAAAAACTCTATTTCTTTGTATTTTTTTAATATCGAAATCCAATAATGTTGTCTTCCTGTAAAACAAAATGTGAGACAGAGACAGACGCACAACCAGCAGGGCTAATAACACTGCGCCTCCTCCTTTCAAATGCATTCAAACTAAAGTACCAAGCCTGTTTTTGAAACGTAAGGAGAAGAAAGTGCAAATATTTGTGCAAAATGTAGGCGGTAAAAAAGCTCCGATGAAGCCGCCGCACCGCCCCATGAAGGCAAACCACCGTAACTTTGATTTTGTTTCACAACTAAGTTGTTAAATGTTTTATTGTAAAATATATATTCAGTCTCACTCTGTCTGAGAAAGATAAGCTCTTCCAATGGCCACAAGTCATCATTTATGTAACTCTATACATAAAACAACAATTTTAACATTTAATAACTGAGATTTTATTGATAAATATTTATTTATAAGAGAAGGATCTAATTCTAAAAACAGGTTTACATCAATTATACAATTAAAACAAATATGTTAAGTCATCTTGATAGGTTAGACGTGCTGGACTTTGTTCTTAATTACTCGTCTATTTCAACTCTTTATACATGAATCAATAAGAAATACAGATTTAATGTCATCAAACATCAAATTCAGACTGTCTCTGCACTACCTTTATATGCAGTTTGGGGGGGTCATAGGTCAAATAATTGGTCTTAATTTTAAAGCCATGAAAATGACTTAAAGAGTACATATTTAAGCACATAACTTCTGTTCTATCAGTAACGAACTGGACAGTTTCAGTGTTAGTGTAGTTACTGCGGTTAGCCTCTGGAGGGCAGAATACCTTCTCAGCACCAAGCAGCCGACGGACAGTGCGACTACCTGAAGAGAAAAGTGAGTGAATAATATCTCCGTCGACTGCACGCGTAACTGGCTGCAAACTTCAGCTGTTTGTTTTTGGGGGTTTTTGTCCCCCTAGTGGTCAAAACTTCATAATGCAGCTTTAAAGTTTTGTGCTTTTTCCAACCTGCGTCAGACGACAGATCCAGATCATCGAAAGATAGCGTGAGGACCTCACTCTCGTTTTGGCACCAACTGTTTGTTTGTGACTCGGATATTTAGAGCACAAACAAACAGGGAGCTGCAGCAGACAATTGCACCATCGCTCCCCGCCCAACACACACACACACACACACACACCCACGCACATACAGGACCTCCGTTTGTCCACAGGCATTGTGGGAAACGGCCTCTCCCTTCGCCTGTCTGTCCCTCTCTCTTTCTGTTGTTAAATAACATCCTGAGTCGTGTCTCAGCTCTCTGTAAACTGAGCACTGAAGTGGTCCCGCTGCCTCCGGGCTCGCGGGGGGCCCGGTCCCGCTGCCCGGGACAGGAGCTCAGAGAGAAACCTGTGTGGAAATTTCTACCATTAAATGTGAGCATCAGGCCAGAGAAAGATCACTGACTGTATTTTTGTGCTTTATACATTTATATTTTACTTGAACATTATTTTAATATCTTTTAATGCACCATTTAAAACTTTTAAAGAATAACTTTTTTCATTTGTAATTGTTTAATTTCTCCTTTTGGGGCCATAAACAGGATCCTGAATGTGGAAATGTGCACAGTAAGAACTAGAGTGTGTGTGACAAAGGAAAATGCAAAACAATAAACTAAAATTAAATCTAATTACTAATAATAGTGGTAGAAAATAATTAAATATTTAAAAGTTGAATATAAAAATGACTTTAATTATTATTTTCAATCTGCATTTGTGATTTTTATTTATTATTTAATGATTTCATTGAGTGTGAATTTTATCTCACTGAGTTATTTTTATATACTGTTATTTTCTTTTATTTCCTGTGGAAATTAGTTGTCTGAACTTTGACTCTTCTGTACCTCCCGGGCTTCCATAGCTCCTCCTGTCTTCCTGTGAAAATGCTGCTTGTTAACTGTCGTTATTAGTATGTTTTGTTTCATTTTGAACGTTAATATTTAAGTTCTGTTGATGTTTCAGTTTCAGTTTCTTGCCGCCATTGTTCTGACAGCGGGTCACCGTGTCCATGTGACTAACGTACACATCGACTTCCTGTGTAAATGCTGTTATTTCTGCATGTTTAAGGGACAATTAATGTGCTATATTGTCTTCTGCAGGAGCAAATAAATGCTGGGAAACATTTCAATGAGTTGTCCTCTGTTCGTGCCGGTACAGCTCCCCAGTTTTATGGCGGCGACGGACAATCTGGCATCTATGTGTGTACACATCTATGTTTGGGACGCTCTGGATTACAGGTCTTACAGAGAGTCTTCAAACACCCACCTCATCATCGCCAGGAGAGGAGGAGGAAGACACACACAGACACACACACACACACACACACACACACGTGTAAATGTCACTATCGAGGCTGTTGTGAGTTTCCAGATGATGTATTTGTATTTATACACGTCTCATTGTCTCTTTTTCTGTTAGAAGAGATTTACATCCATCATATTAGAAACAATAAAAAAATAGAACTGAAAATGTACATCATACACTTGATACATATACATATATATATATATATTCTGTTTTTTACATAGGTAAAAATGTGAATTATATAAAAAAGACAAACCAATGAATTCAACCTTTACTTTTTTTTTTTTCTTTTACACTAATTATTTTCTGAAATCAGGACATAGATGAAGAGGAGGCTTCAGGCACTTTCCTTTAATAGCTGAAGTGGACGCAGGCCGAAGACGCTGCGTCCAACAGACAAACCGCTTTTGGTTCACTTTCCTCGCCACAGATAGAAAAGTAAACGTGGGAATCTTCTCCGCAACGAATGGCAGCAGTATCATGAAGCTTGACTGACAGGAAACACGGCAGGAAGAGGACAGAGAGGTGAGACAGGCAGACAGACGGACGGACAGGACGACAGCTTTAGAACAGAGGCCTTCGCTCCTGATTGCTGCTCCACTGAGCCTCAAGTCTCTTTTTCAAATCAAAGATGTGACACAGACGTAGAGTACTGGTGGTTTTTTATCTTGTCGACTGTAGAATACAAATTGTCTTCAAATCAAACCATTAGTTTATATATTATTATAATTATTGATTTTAAACCTTCTAGGCAGCCATTGGTACAGATTGAAGTCTTCCTCTTGTGCGTTTAAAGGACCAAACCAGTGGTTCCCATTGTTTTAACCCAGTGTGAACCACCAGCGACGTCACCCATTAGTTTGTGGAGTCCTGTTTTAAAGTTTGGTCGTCGCCATGTTGGTGTTATGCAGCCAGCGGAGGTCACGTGCTGCGAGAGCCGCCACGTCGTCCAAGACCGATGGCCAAGTCCTAAACAAGTGCGAAAAAAAAAAAAACTGGTTTCAAGCCTCTTGCTCGTCAGAAACTCAGCTGAGACCGATGGCCGCCTCGGAGGAAGGAAATCAAACTAAGAACTGATGGTTTGGAAAATGTTCAGCAGCTTTAAGACACAAACTGTAGCTACACGACAAACTGTGAGAGCTGCTTCATCACAGCGAACGGTCGCACTTCGTTTAGGTTCGTAATCTCAGTTTAGAAAAAAGTAGTTTTTCACGTGATCATGGAATTTACTACCTGCGATAAAAAGAAAACTTAGTGTTAAGTAAAGACAGAGACTAGAAAATGAAAGAAGAAAGAAGGAATACGCTTTGTTCTTTGTGGTGATGAAGAGGTTTCCATACAGAACTGCTGTAGCTTATTACACTAGTTTTAGCTTTGGGAGAATCGCATCCACTCAGTGTTCAGACCTCAGTATGTTAAAGGACCAGTGTGTAGGACTTAGTGGCATCTAGTTGCAGATTACAACCACCTCGCCTCACTTTCTGGTGGACACAAAACTCTTGAAAAGTCAAATATAGAGACAGTTTAGTTTGTCCGTTTCTTCGGAATAAGTGTGGAAACATCCGGCTCATTCTAAGGTAACGCAAACAGTTGTTATATTCAGGTGATTAAACACTAATGAAAACTATAAATATTATATTCCACTCCTGACAGCAGATCCTGTTACACACTGGACCTTTAACAAAGACTCACATGTTTCTGTGAAATGAGCACAAAATCTTAAACTGGAGGTTTAAGACTATTTGGATCGGATCCATTTGTTTACCTCCAAAGATACTCGAAACCCTGTTTACGTTTCTCAACCGATTTCATTGAGTAATTTATATATTTAAAGGTTTGTGACATACGTGGAGTCGAATTATGCTCCAATATATGGCGACGCTGACGTGTCCCAGCAACCAGTGCGGCGTCGCTGTATTGTCTGTCGACGCTCTATCGAGCAACGGTGGAAAAGGAACTGGTGAACAGGATTTAAAGTAGTAAAAACACGCTTGATTAAAATGTTAGGATTGTGTTTATTTACATAAGAAATGGAGATATCAATCCTGATTATCTGTAATCAGAGGATGTGTGTTGCTTTATTAATCTCTAATGTCCGACCCGCCACTTATTGATTTTATTTGTTTAGTAGTTTAAGTATCGCTTTTTATTAAATACTATCATTAGAGCTGTAAAGTTATTACATTTTTATTCCGTTCTGTCTCATTATCATTTTGTCAATCATCTGTGGAGCTGTATGAAAGCTGCTATAGAAATACAGTTTGATTTTATTGATTGATTGATTGATTGATTGATTGATTGATGGTGTCAGGGAAATAATTTAACAATATAATCTGACACAGAGGTTTAATATAACAGGTAATATAGTTAGTATGTAGATCTTTCTATAGTTCTAGGTTGTGACTTTATTCGATGTTTTTCTTTATCTGCATTTTCAGACTTTGTGCTCATTTCATAAAATCATTGTGAGTTCCCCTCAGGCTCCGGCTGAGCACCAACAACACATTTACTACCTTGAAACATTTTTTAAATCATTTTAAGGGGGTACAATTCTAAAGGCTAGTCCCATTTTTTTTTAAAGATTTTTTTTTGTTAAAAAATAGTAAAGAAGTCTGTGGAGAGTTAATTTATAACCGTCAGACTATATATATATAAATATTCTGACGCTTTTTAGTTTAGTTATTTATACCAATAAAAGGATCATTTTTGATATCCAGCCCTTCGACAGTCAGTCTCAGATACATTCTTGATGAACCTCACACACACACACACACACACACACACACACACACACACACACACACCTAATAAGTATCTGTCTTAGCTTTACTCTTACTTTAGTTTTTGTTCTCATCATCAAACAAATTCCGAACCACAAACCAGTAAAGACAGACCAGTATGACCAGTACACAACAAGACTAGAGGAGATAATTCAACGAGGTTCCACTGTGCAAACTGTGTTTAGTTTTTAACTAAATCCAACCTTCTGACCAACAACCAGATGTTGTGTTTCTGGTCTATTTGAGACTGGGAACTGCCATCTTACTGGTTTATCTGCTCAGTTTGCTGGAAGCAGAGCAGCTTTCAGACCGGTTAAGTGCCTCTGCTGAACATCGGGGAACCGCAGCTGCCGACGCAGTGCGAAACATTCATCTTAACGGCTGGATGAACTGTGTGAAATCACAAAGAAAGAAACAGCTTTATCACTGAGAATTTAATGAGAGCATTGAAACTATTTGTAAAGGTGCGGAGCTGGTTAGCCTAGCTTAGCATAATGACTGGAAGCAGGGGGAGACAGTTAGCAGGGTTGTCACTGTTATTTGTAGTTCATTCGTTCAACGTGATCATTTGTTTGCCTTGTGATCCAGCAGAGAAGGGTCCAACTCTATAGGCTTGATAGATTAGATAAAATCTCATTAAATGATCTGTCCGCAGCTGGATTGCGAGAAATAAGCAATCAATATCTGAACCTGACCCTATAATACAGGTGAATTCTGTTAGTTTCCCTCATTATAAGAAAGTTATGAGATGTGAATGAGATTTATAGAGCGATTATCTGAACCTTTAGAATAACCTTTACGTTGTTTCCCCGTGTGGTGTCACACAGTTGTCCTGCGTGTCATTTTAAATTTGTTCAAACTTGATTGTTTGAAAAAGTTACCTGGTCTAAAACCACAAATACAAATTTGTCTACAGATTAAACAAACTACATCACAATAACTTTATGTTTTAGGTATATTTTTGAACTTTGGCTGGCAGTTTCCCCCTGCTTCCAGTCCTTATGCTAAGCTGGCCTAACTACATCCCGACTCCAGCTCCGTACACAGACATGAGATTGATCTCATCTAACTGAACTCAACCTTTAAGGTGAAGCTGTCTCAACATGTGATTTTTGTCTGAATTGATTTTGTGCGTTAAGGTTAAAATGTTTCGCAGCTGCAGTTCCCTCTACAAACACAACATTCATACTGACCTCACACAACGCTGAAAAAATGACATATTCAAGCCTTTAAAACACATGAGTGTAAAAATATAAAGTACCTGTTTTTATATATATATAAATATATATATATATATATTTATATATATATAATTCTATATAGAAATGAATATTCTTTGCTCGGTCTTTGTGAGAATTGGAAGCCATGTTTGGTTCCCAATGTCACAAAAGACGTAAAAACAAAAAACAACAGGGAACCTTTTTTTTCTTCCATCTGTTGAGACAAAGTTCGTTTTCTCATCCATCTGGAAATCGGAGACGAGACAAACAACAACAACAAAAAAACAACGTAAAAATCACAGCGGCCTCCGATTCCCTGCCTCCTCCCATGAGTCTTTGCTGTCTCGCTGTGAGGAGGGCGGGGGCCTGCGACGCCTCAGCCCACAGCTTTGTGTTTCCCGCCACAGCAGTGGCAGGCTACGCCGCAGCGGTAGCACGCCCTGAGGGGGGCGTAGCAGCACATGCAGGGCGCCAGCAGAGACAGGCCCACCAGCGCCGCCCAGCGCAGGCAGAAGCGCTCGTCGCTGGTGTCACAGGAGCACGGGTCCGAGTAATCCCCCTCCGGGTCCGACATGCAGTGGTACAGCAGGCTGTCTGCGCACCACATGAAGCTGACCCGCCTGATGCAGGTCTGAATGGGGTCAGGTGCTTCCTGGCAGCGGCCCCGCCCGTTGTCCTCATGGTTGAACATGTCCTGACAGTAAACGCAGCGCGAGCGCTCTCCGTCCTCCTTCCGCCTCTTGCCTTTGGGCTGCAGGGCTCGCGGCTGCACCGTCACCACCGCTCTGTGTCCGCTGCCCAGCTCCAGGCAACTGGGTTTGCCGTCACAGACTCGCTGCACGTCGCAGCTCAGCGGGTACGGGTAGCTGTAGTCGTGTTTGGGCGGCTCGCTCTTTGCAAAATGTACGTAGGCGTCGAGGTTGTCAGGCTGGGTGAGTTTGTCACGTGTGGAGTTGGCGTGGCGGTAGTCCTCGTAGCCGGTGAGCCAGGTGCGCTCGCGGGGGTTGATGCGTACGATCTCTTCCTCCTCCACCTGGAAGCTGACGTGACGAGGGAACATGTGGACCGCCTGCAGGGACACAGAGCAGATGGAAACTCAGAGGTCAGCAGAAACAAGGAAACACAGCTGCCAGTTGAGTTCATTGAAACTTCTTGTAGCAATAAAGGGTTTTTCTACGAGTGGGTCCCCATTTTGTTTATCTCGTGTACATGAGGACACACAGTCCTGCCAGAGGTCTCTCACTGTTCCACTGATCAACAGGTAGCGGTAATGAGGTAATGGAAGAAGAAGACTGTTAGCAAGTAAACATGGATAAACAATGCTGGAATTAAAATATTCTAAAAATCAGCTTTGGAGCTTATCCGTCTCCTTAGCTTATGGAGACGGAAATGCATTTAACACAGTGTGATTGGGTGAGTAACACTGAAAGAAAACTCCACCTTTAAGTCAAATTGTTTAACCAAAAACTAAGGACTTTACATTATTATAATACATTAGTAGCAAAATTACACTGTTACCATCACCTATGATTTAAAGTTCTTGTTAAAATACTTTTTCTACTATCACTCAGAAGATTTCACTACCAGAACCAAAACACCATGATGTCCGATACCTATTACACATTACGGTACAATTACTCACTTCAAAGGAGGAAGCTGTTCAAAGACCTGGAGCGGCTGGAGAAACATTTTAGCCTGCACACTTCTTTGTACATTTGGTACCCGATGATGAGGCAAGTATTTTATAATGTTCTGATAACTTCACCAACTCTTCTACCGTCTGCAATCTACCTGCAAAAGGAGTCACGTTGACTTGGATCGTGGGCCATTGAGTCTCTACTCACTTGGTCCAGGAAGTAGTGATCGGAGGGTCGGTGCTGCTCGTAAAAATGTCCCAGGATGCAGTGGTGCCGACGGGACTCACAGAAGTTGGGCGGGGCCAGCGTGTGCATCGCCGGCTCTCTCTTCTGGGACGAGTTGGACGAGCTGTCGGTGGCCGTCTGGAGGAAGAGGACAGAGGACAGAGAAGAGAGAAGTGAGGACTGTGTGAACAACCTGGAGGAAGGTTAAAGGGTCATTCTGTGAAGATGTGACGTAGAAGACATTTTTTATGACCACTTAAAGGCTGTCTCGTCCATGTTGGCTTAAAAGTTGAACATCTACAATTCCATGACATCTGGGCGATCTCCATCTCTTGAGGAAGAGCATGTGCTCTGATTGAAAGCTCCAGAACAACTACTAAATAGACTTTGTGACTTTGTTTTGTTAACATATACTAAACTGTATCAATACACAGCTGTAAAACAACGACAATGCTAACAACCTGTTGTGATTTGGCATAGATTAGCCTAGCACGTAGCATATCTAAGTACAGGAAAGGAGGCAGTTGGCCGAGGCTCGGCTCAACTGTTACTGGCACAGAGCATTTTATGGAAATAACAAATTACAACTTTGGTCTTGTTTCTTTCAGCTCATGTGACGTATCAGAAGATCTCGGTTCCTCTCTGAAACCACCTGAGCTTCACTTCAATGTGTTCTGACCCTCCACCAGACTTCTGTGTGCAATTAGACAAAAAACAAGGGGGGAGAAAAAGTCAGAAAAACCTCAAGAACCAAAGCAGCGTGGCAGAAACGTCTCTGAAGTCTTTGTGTTTTTATTGGGTCTGCGCTAAATGAATCCCAGCCCGGCCTTGCGGCCCTGCGAGCGCTCTGCGCAGTGTGTCGGGTTGCGTCATCCTCAGGGTTGACACAAGCCGCAGCTTTCATGTGGATCACTCGGATCACACAAGAAGACTTTTTCAAACACCAGAAACTTGAGGAACCTGCCGAGAACAAACAGCTTTCACACATTTCTAGGTGCAGCTGTGCAGTTTTCAGGAAAAAGCTGTTTTGCCTATGAAATCCCATTAATTCCTCGTGCAATGTGGGCATCTTTAAGGCCTAACAAACATGGTGAATACATTTCTCGCCCTTATAAAAGATTTGCTGGGGTCTTGCATTGTTTACAGGCTTTTCGTCTCCTCTTTTATTAGTGCCCTGATGCACCAAACTATGTGGAATTGTATGACGACTGGGCTGAAATTGTATGACGGTTTTTCAACCCATCTTCAAGTGTATTTAAACACCTCTACCTTCAGACAAGCTCAGCTACTTTGACTTGTGTTGCAGTTCATATCCTATTTTCTTCTTCTGTTGTGTTGCAGCTACCCAGTTGTGGGCCACCCTGAATCAAAACAGTGCTTTTAGCCATACTAATGGCCTTGCTCTATTGATGTGGGTCAGTCCACCACTTTAGTCCAAACTGAAATATCTCACCAAATATTGGATTGGATTAGATTTTGGTACAGCTCTCCATCGTGCCCAGAGGATGACGTTGGTGATGCCCTGACTTTTCCTCTAGCATGAGGTTGACTCTTTCAGATGGAGATGGATTGCCTTTTCATTCAGTGCGGACATACATTTATCTTTGTGAGATTTATATAGCACTATGTTGAGGACCATGAGAGTCCACAGCCAGTTTATTCACAATCTGGGCAGCAGGTGTAGTTTTAGACGGACCACAACTGCTATCCTTAGTTGGGCAAAAACAGTACCAGCTTCTTAACTCATTGAGAGTCATGTGAAGTCACAGACTATTGCATGCAGTATGTATACAACTGGGATATACCACCAAGTCAATGTCGCATTGAAGTTTGACTCTCTCATATGTCCTTAGCCAGAAATTTGAAGTAAAAAAAACCTGCAGTTTGGAACATAGTGTGAACCTATCATGTCACCCATTATTATTATTTTGAAGCCTTGAGTTTGGCATTATAGTCGTCACCATAACAGTTTGTCGCAGCCAGCAGCAAGTTGAGCTGCTCTCATTGACTGCCCAGTTTCAACTCGTCCGTATCAGGAAACAATGGCGGTTCTCCTGCTCACACACGATCTGGTGTTCCAGATAAACAGTAAAATGTGTTTGTGAACAGATTTGAGGAGAGAAATAGTCAACAACAGAATCTGGATCCATATCTGATCAGCACTGTTTGACAGTTTGATCTGAGTTTGGTGTGTTGAGCTGGACGGACTCACTGAGAATGAGCTGTCAATCACAAGGTAGCCCCGCCCTAAAGCATACCCTGCTTTATGGTCTGTTTTACTCTAAATGGGACCATCAGTTACTAAATGAACATCATGCTGTATGGAAGAAGACTGAAACTAGAGACTGAGACCAGAAACTCATCAGGAAACTGTTTACTGAGCTCATAAATCAACTGAGAAGTCGACTCATTTCTCCATAAGACTGAATGGTATCAGTGTGTTATTGCAATAATAGTCCAAATCATTCAGCACTGTTCCTGCTCACTACCATCGTGTTTGCAGTTTGTTGATTCCTCTCGGCCGCTGTAGTACTGGAACATGGTTGAAGACCGTAGCTTTGTGTATTAGCATACATACTATAGCATGGTATTGATAAAACGTCAGAATAATTTCATTTTAAACTGTTTTGTAGCTTTGCAAATTCTGAAATATTCAACCTGTGTTCAAATGTTGTCACATTCTTGTAGTTCAGGGCTCAAAATCTCCAAAGTTACATAACTACATCATTTTTACTCCTGTTGTGTCCTGTCCTGTCCTAAAAACCTCCAACAAACACATTCCACCAGTTCGTCCAGACCTCCTTTGTTATTCGGGGGCCTCCAGAGGAAGCACTGCATCATGACAGGGAGGATTTTATTCACCCCTGACGGATTTTGATCTACATCCTCATTGTCCTCCGAGTCTAACTCCTCTTCCTCCTCCTCAGAGAGACTTCAGAGGTGTAGACAGGACGGATGGGAATGATCTGCAGCCGGGGCGGTGCAGCCACGTTCCCCTCAGTCGGCCCGGCTTTCCACTAAATGAGGCCAGCTATGTAAACAGGCGGCTCAGTGACGGATTACTGACAGGTCAGACTCTCTCCTCCAGCACTGGACATCCTGCGGAAACGATACACCCTGTTTCTTTGAAGCCGCTGGAAATAAGGAAACATTTTACTGGAAAGGGAAGCAGAGAGCAGGAGTCGGTCCCTTCATCAGACTGAGGATGGAGATCTGTTGATGCACTGTGTACGGTATATTAAAGATGTTACACAGTATCAGACCAGTGTACAAATTACACTGTGGCTTTCAGGGAGCCCTGGTTTTAGGGGGGTGGAGCATATACATGCACACACGAATACACACAGAATATTTAACCTGGAACAAAATAATAAAAACAAATGAGATACAATAAGAAAAACAACGTGCAGTGTGTTCAGCGTGCACAGCATTGTGTTTATTAGACACAAATGACCTGAAATCGTCAGAGGTGGGGAGTAACCAAGTACAAATACCACATTACTGTACTTGAGTAGTTTTTTCTTACAACTTTTTACTTTTGCCTCCTACATTTTGACACAAATATCTGTAGTTGTTACTCCTTACATTTAACAGGCTTGTTTCTTTAGTTTTAATGCATATGAGGCGAATTATCCATTATTATTATTTTTTATCATTGCACACCTTCCAGACATCAGGACCGGTGCATATCCCGCATAGATAGACGTAATAAGATGAAACAGACGAGAGAGGGAGACTCCTCATGTCAGTTCGCTTTGCACAGAAACAAAAGTTAGAAACGTCCTTCAGAGAAACCAAACACAAGTTTCGGTACTTGAGTAAAAAATGTGTGTACTTTTGCCACCTTTGCACACGCACATTAACAAGTGCTTCACTATTTCACAAACCTACCGCATCTGTATAAGCAGAGCTGGTTGGTGTATTTTTCACTCCCTCCAGGATTACGAAGGCCTCCTGATTTCATGGCAGCTTTTCCAAAAAATGTCGATGTTTTTAGGTGCGTTTATACAATTAAATTCTGTGATAAAGTGAAAATAGCAGAAACTTTTTGTATAATTAATAAAAAATTGAAGGCCAGACTCAAACATTCCAATAAGGCTGGGTCATGCCTATCCACTCAGAGATGTTCACGTTGCTGTTTCTTTTACGTGTACTGTGTCTGCGTCTCAGACAAACTCCTGACAGAAAGACGGTGAGGTGTATATGTGTGTGCTGCTCCTGGGTCGGTAACAAAAACCAAACCCCAAACAGGACGGCGACGCGTGTCCGTTCATAAACACCACAGGATACCAAACTCTTCCTGTCCGTCAACCTTCCTGTCTAACACCCCACGAATCGCACGCGTAGCAAACAAAAACAGCACCTCCTGTCTGAACTCCTCCCTGCTCCCTATCGTCAAACAGAAATCCTCCTGATACAATATGGAAAGCTTGATAAGGAAGTTTCTATCCAGGAATGTGAATTATGATGCATTTAAAAAAATGACGGCTCCGTATATATCCTCTACATGTCACCAACATACAGAAGGAATGAAAACGGCACTCAGAACTCGACCGCATCCTCAGTCGTCAGTGTTTTAACAGCTGGAGGAAGAGTTTCTCACCGTGAAGACGTCGTCATCGCCGAGCTCCGCCTCGTTCTGCAGCGTGGACGAGGACGTGGTCGAACCTGGAGAACACACAGGAGGATCAGTACGATGGGAACCTTTTTATTTCACCAGCTGCTTTCACTACGGTCGGGACGCAGTGGTTTGCTGTACAAGGCTACAGTGGCTCTAATCACGGTCCAGGTCTGGGTTTGGCTATTTTCAACTGTAGTGTAGCCAATGTGTTGCTGGCCAGCTAACAGTCACTAATAGAAAGAAGAAAGAAATAAAGCAAAAATTTGGCTTTGGGTTGGGTCTAAAATTTACCAGTACCAGCCCAGTTCAGTTGATCCAGGTCTTAAAGATGCAGGTTTGGGTTTAGATCTCAGTTTAGACCTCATATCAAAAGCATCCTTCACAACAAGGTGGTCTACTTAAAGGACATTAGCTTCTTTACTGTCTTACCTAAGCATTCATCAGTTCTACACAGATAGGACGTGTTATGTGGCCAGAAATCAGAACTAACAGAACCTGTGAGTACTGGCCCATTTCAGGCACCGGTACCGGAACAATGTGCGTCATATGAGGAACTACAGGCAGCTACGAGCTGAGCTATGGGCGTGGTTTATTGGTGTATTCAATCTGAACTGGGAAGTAGGAACCCAACCTTGACCTCAAACATCCAAGATGGCTCCTCCGTGGTTTCTGATGTTTCCGATGTTTGACTACGTTATGGTCCGTTGATCCGACTGGTTGAAGTTTGCACAGAACAGAACAGATGTGATATATGGTTCATCCAATCACCTGGCTAGGACTTTTTGAAAAGCCCTTTATGGGTCTGAGTATCAAACCACCTGTTGCAGTCAGATATATCAGGTGTGTATGACATGAACAAGTAATTGGCTAAATACGCTTGACTGCCTATTCCTCTGTGAGCACTGAGATTACTGATCAAGTTCTGTAGTTTGCAGTAGTGTCACTTAAATAAAGTGTGTGGGTCCTTAATCCCTCAAGTGTGAAGCTACAGTTAAGTGTGTGACCAGTGCGTACCTTCTGTCAGGTCCTCGAGGGCCTTCCTCACCCCGCGGTCGAAGGCCCTGGCGTCGGCCGGACTCTGGAAGGTCAGACCACACTTTCTGTTGTCCACCTTCCAGTGGTGGAACGTCGGCGTGGCCTTCGTGTAGACCAGATCCTTCTTTAAGAAACACTCCAGAATCACCTGGACACAATTCAAACAAACAACATTTTACGACCTGTATAATAAAGTTTCTAGTTCAAAAGAAAGTGAACGCAACTCAACCAGGCGCTTCTAACAAATATGTGTAATATGTTCACAAATTCTGTTCACACAGTATTTCTTCTCAGCATTTTCTATCTTTACAGTGACCACTGATGATGCATTTTACAACACAGAAACATCAAGCGAGGTCGAATGAAGACACTCAATGTGGTTTTATCACAGTGAAGTCTTTGACATGTTTACATCCACATGGCAGAATTGGTCTGACCCATACACTCTGCCCAAATACAGCAATGAGCTACGGTCCAGAGGTGGTCCAGATCTGGTAGCTACATATGGCCCATGACATATCCATATCTCTGGCCTATGTACAGACTAGTTTCAGCAGTTTTTTGTGTTTTTTGGCAGCATTTTCTCATTTAACTATTTTTCTAAACATAACTGCACATGCAGTGCTGACAAGGGAGGAAAGTGAGACAGTTGGCTGAGATGTGGTTATTTCATGGGCCGTAAGTGGCTACCAGATCTGGACCACCTGTTGACTGTTATTCATTGCTGTATCTGGGCTGAATTTAAGAGGGTTGTATGAGCCGACACTGGGCCAGACCGATTAATCCTTCCTGAGTCCCGCTCCTTTTCTCTCTGTGCTCCAATAAGAATTGATCAAGCCTCGATCAACTTCCTCCTTTCCTGTACTTACTGTAGATATGCTCTCTTCTAGGCTATGTTGAAAAGACCACATTTAAATGATGGTTAAAAGATTTAATTGGAAACTTATTACCTTGCTAATCAATCTATCTTCAAAATGTAGTTTTATTTTCAACATAGACAACGCATAGCACATAGCAAATCTAAGTAAAGGAAAGGAGGAAGTAGGCCGGAAGGACTTAGGAAGGATCAGTATTTCTCTGTGGGGATCAGTTATCACGTCAGGACTACTGAGAAGAAAGAAAAAAGCCATCTAGAGAAACTGTTTGATCATCAGGTGGTTTCTGGGAAATGAAGTTCAGAAACATGACAGCGAGCTGCAAAGATGGGAGACTCAAAAAGAGAAAACATCTCATTGTCTGTATTCCAATAAAATGCTTCTGGACCGACCTGCTTGTCTTTGAGGCGTTCTCCGTGGATGAGGAAGGTGTTGCGTCCCAGCAGTTCGGTCGGCAGCAGCCTGCACACGCCCACTCTGCTCAGGCAGCCGTCCTGCGCCAACCAGCCGCCACTCGAATCGTCTCTGGTCATCACCACCGCTTTGACGCGCACAATGTAGCTGTCACTGCAACGCGCGAGAGAAGCAGTTAGCAAGACGGCCAGCTGAGGGAACCAAAGCACATTTTTCCAAGAATGTACTTTTTGTCATTTTGAAAACGATTAAAATCTATATGGATAATAATTTTCACCATCAGATACTCTGCGATGAAGAGAAAGCTCTAAAAGCATGATAGAGATCCAGACACAAAATGTTCAGAAAGGTTCAAACACACTCCAGGGTTGATGCTACCTACATGAAGCTTTCACAGTGCAGATTCATCTATAGTTTATTTCACAAGTACACAACCTGATGATTGGTAGGATGTAATGGCTGTGTATGGAGTCACGGTTCGGTCTAGCTGCCGCACGAAGACAACACAAAATGTAGACTGATGCAGAATTCACAAGTGTGAGATACTTTTAGCTGTTAGCGTGTGCTGAGGTGAGCACACAAAGCTGATTGGTGCGCAAGTTTTTATTTATTTACACAATAATACAGAGCAAAATACATACAAATAGAAGACAGTAATTACAATACAGGAGAGGAAGGAAGCCAGTCTTCCCCTATTTTACCTAAATACAAATTTACAAAATGACATTATTACACAACAAAAACGAAACGAATCAAAGAAAATCAGTACGAACTCGCACACTTTACCAACCAATGGTGTAACTGGCCCCCGATTTGCTGCAGTCCTGCCAAAATAAGTTGGGAACCAGTGGTCTGATCTTTACAGTGTGTTATATTTTATACGTTTATACGTTTCTTAATGTAAAAACCGAATCTGCAAAGTAACTCGTAACTACGGCTCTCAAATAAACGTACAAGTATAAAGTAGTATATAATGGAAAATACTCAAGTTAAGTGCCTCAAATTTGTACTTGTATTTGTACACACTACTTGAGTAAATGTACTTAGTTACTTTCCACCACTGGAAATAGGCAGCGCCTGAAATGGAATAAAATGACGCCTGAGTAACTGCGTTTAGCTTAATGCTAAAGAAACAGCGCTGATAATGTCCTTGTAAAAATGCCAAACGTTAAGTTGTGGTTAGTCGTGCTGAATGAAGGTAGTGGTACCTTGAGTGGTCCAATTCAGGCACTGGAAATAGAACTCCTGTGGTGACTCACTGATATCTCTCTCTCTATAATGACAATTATAAAGGCAGCACGAGAGGGAAACGAGAGGGAAACGAGAACAATAGACTGCATAAAACGAAGTCTCCATGACGTCACCCCCAGGTTGTGAAGCTCAGTGTGGTCGGCCATCCTGGCAGTCCTGACTCCGCCGGCTCCCGTGTTAATCCCACAATGGGCAAAGAGGTGGAGCTGAATGAAGACTTACTGAAACCAGCCGCCTGTGACGGCAATTTAATTTGGGGCCTTATGGAGAGTGACTCACTGCTGGAGCCAGCCTCCAGTGGACGCTACAGGAACTGCAGGTTTTGTTGCTTCCTTGTTCATCTGCAGCCACGAAAGGTTGCTGCACGATGAGAACTCGTAACACCGCCAGCATCTGCAGCCGGGTGGCCTTGTCCTTCTCGTCGCCTCTGGAGCGAGTCATCACCGAACATAGCATTACTCACCTGTGATCTCTCTCTCACACACACACACACACACACACACACACACAAGAAACCCCAGACAGACCCTGTGCATCGTCCGGTCTGAGCCGCCAGCAGAGACTCAATCTTCACATTCAGAAAAACATGGAAGCATGAACACGGCAGCGTCGAGGCAAAATACAAAAAGAAGAAAATACGAAGGTTGGGATTAAAAATAAAAAAAATACTCTCTCTCTCTCTCTCTCCGTCTTGCCTTTTGTGCTCCGACATCTCTCGTACATCCTGTTTCCACGGTCACAGTGTCACAGCGGTCTCCGTTGACGACAGGTTGTCGAGCTGTGCTGCTGCACGCCGCCGACGCCACATCCTAACGGGCCGAAGAGAGGCGGGAGAGACGCTGCCTGCCTCGTCTCCAGCCTCACACACACACACACACACACTGCTTCCCTCCGCCGTGTGATTCAGCCTGCCTGTCAAACAGATGGTGCTTGTGTGTGTGTGTGTGTGTGTGTGTCTAGCATGAGTCATCACTGCATTTGCCGGCAGCGTGCAGTGACACACACACACACACACACACACACACACACACACACACACACACAGGAGGGACTATATACTGGAGTTTGGTTCCAAAATGAGAGATCCTCCATTTGCAAACAGTGACACCTTCACTTACAAAATGACTGATGATGTGAAATGAAGCATTTACAGTTTTCTGTCACAGACCTGCAGTCAGTTTTTGGTCAGTCGGTTGGTTCATCTATGCAACTACTGGCCATGAAATCAAAGGACGATTCCACTTTATTTCTACTCGTTAAGGGCCCCCAATAGTCGACTCATTAGTCGATGTGAAGAGTCTCAGTCTGATAGTCGCAGAAAAATACAAACTACATAAAACTCCATTCCTGAGCTGCGCTTGGTCACCAGGACGAAAGTATCACAGGATTGTTGCAACACGGACCTTTTCTCTTGTAACACAGGGAGTCACTTACCGGTGCGCTGTTGCATATGTTAATCGTACTAGCTGCTCTTAGCTAGTCAGCGGTCCTAATAGCTGTCAGTACCTGCAGAAACCTGCTTTGAAGAATCATCTTACCCTACCAACAAGCCGAGCTTCAAATAAAATATGCATCCAGGTTTACATAAACTTTACAGGATATTTTGTTATCTTAATGAACTTCCAGGTGTTTCCATGACTGGAAAACTAGTCTCTAACTGGGTTCCCACTCTTTGAGAAATCATTTTCCAGGCGTCTTCTTGACGAGGACTTCCTCACAAAAGGTCATATAATTACTGGTAGCCCTCGCACTAGTTCAAATCAAGTAGACTTGATTTTATTGTTGTAAGTACTGTTAACATCACTGTGCATGTATTTATTATCCCCAACAACAAACTTGATTGTTTAAAGGTTTTTTTTAAATTTTACACCCCCCACCTTTTTTTTTTTTTTTTAAAAAAAGTTAAAATTAAATATTTTAATTTATTTTTTTTAAAAAAAAAAAATAATAATTTTTTTTTTTTTTTTTAAAATTATATATAAGAGAGAAGTTATTTTTATTAATTATTTGGTGGTTTTAAGAAGGGGAAACTAGTCTCTAAATTTCCAGGTTTTCAAGGAAACATGAATGATATGATAACTTAGGCTGTTGCTGCTTTGATTGACAGGTAGGTGCCGTCACAGCTGGCGGAATCAGGACTGCCAAGATGGCGAGACGGCCAAAGCCGATCCAACTGGGCTTCACAATGGCTCTTCACGGAGACTACGTCCATATTGAATTACACAGTCTATAGTTATCATTAGACTGGTCGAGTCAGTCCAGGGTTTTTTAATCATTTCCCACCGGTGACATAACACACAATCATTATTCAGCCACTAGAGGTATGTCAGTAAATCTCTGTCACCACCGGAGTCCTTTTCCCAGAAAATAACATTTACTCAAATTTAAGGTACTTGTACTGTATCTATTTTTACATGTATTTTTACATTTTATGCTACTTTATAGTTCAACTGCACTACATCTCAGAGGAGATAAAGAGAAATTCAGTTTGTGTTGAAACAGAGACAATCCTCACACTGGGGACACTGGAGGAACCACTGGCTGATATTCTTAATTCATTTATCAATTATCAAAGTTATTTATTAATCGTTTGTTGTACAATGTAGTCCAGTGACTACAAACATGGGGGTCGCCAAAGCTCCAACAGGCCTACATCTCAGCATTTGGTTCACTTTAGTGAAGAAAGGTAATGTTAAAGTAATGCAAATTGTCTGCTCAAAATTCCTCCAAATCTCTGGTTTTACACAAACTTCCTGCAGTTACTGAGTTCACTGTTTGTGCAGTTTTTAATATAATATGAAATATCTATAAAATATGTCACTGAATCAGTTTACTGACTGATAGAAAAGGGGTCCCTGAAGGGAAAAGGTTGGGAACAACTGATATAACCGACTTTAATAAGTGTATCATAAAAAATGCAATAAGGACGTTCCAGTCAGCAGCCATACATTTACCCGAATGACAGCCTATCCCTGGCAATGTGTGTGTGCGTTATATAATATCACACACACACACACACAGACAGTGGATAAGAGCTGTCCTCCCACTAACATTCAACCTACATTTTCTAACCTGGAAAGACCTTCAGGGGGATGTATGTGTGTGTGTGTGCGCCAGGTGTCTCAGTGCTGTCAGGCTCATAAAGAGAAGGTCAGAGGTTTATAATGTCCGACGCCCACCTCCACCCGGGCAGGTGTGGTGATGTCATCCGTCCATCTCCTCATGTTTTTCTCTCACAGTTCATCAGAAGTGACTCAGACATCATTTACACAACTCCAGTTACCGTCTTCTCTTCTCTGAAACAATTACTTGGAGCTGGAACTGGTTTCATGATACAGAGGTTGGTGCTCTCACCACAATGGGAGATGCAAGTAAGTCAAAGTCTTGTCAGAGCCTCACAGTGACTGAGAGATCAGTTTCTGGCAGTAAAAAAGTAAAAAATTACTTCAGTTTCAATATTCTGACCGACATCCAGCCTCACTAATGAAAGCTGCCATTAGCACAGGGTTTAAGAGGTATTTTCACTTGTTCATGTATTATTATTCTGTTGTGGTTAGGTATGAAAAATATGGTAAATTTTAAGGATAAACACAGAGTTTAAATAACATTTGAGCAAGCTTGGCAGCCCGTAAAACCTCAGTCAACTTTTCTCCATTCAGATACTAAGATATGCTAATTTTAAAACGTAAATTAGATAAATCTTCAAAATGTGGTTGTTTCTATAACATAGATTAGCCTAGCACGCAGCATATCTTAGTACAGGTAAGGAGGAAGGTGACCGAGGCTTATTCAGCTGTTACTGGAGCGCAGAGCGGCGGGGCTTAGGAAGGGTTAATTGATTTTGAACATAAATGAGAACAACCACGCCCATGTTTGGGTGAAACTAACATTGTAAAAGTGCTGAGTGACACCGTTCCTAAAAGCTGCTGCGTCGCATTTTATACGTCAAACAACAAAAACTGTAACAGTAACTTTAGGATGAAAATGACCCGGACAGTCAATATGTGTCTGTCTGTGTCCAACTCTTCCTCACAGGTTAGTTAATGACAGACAGTCAGTGAGTGTGTCTGTGTCCAACTCTTCCTCACAGGTTAGTTAATGACAGACAGTCAGTGAGTGTGTCTGTGTCCAACTCTTCCTCACAGGTTAGTTAATGATGTTACTGAGTCAATGTGAGCAGATTGTGTCTGTAGATTGAAGAGAATCAGAGTCTCACTGAAATAAAGGTTTTACTTCCTTAAAACAGCCATTTTTTGAATGGAGTTTGGTGTGACAGTGTGGAGCAGAGGGGATTTTACCCTTAATAATTCATATAAACTGAGCTGACCTACCTTCTAATAATGAACCTTATAGCGAGCTTAAAGTGAAAATAATCACAGCGACATACATCTAGCAGAGAGTACACCGTGCAAAGGGTGGGCAAAGGCAAACTACTTGACACAAAGACCATCCAAAAAAACACTGCACATTTTACTGAGTTGCTCTAAAACAGCAGGTTAGTCGACCCAGAACACATCAGCAACACAGCAGAGGTCACACAAAGAGAGAGAGAGAGCATGAAACAGCAGAGGTCACACAAAGAGAGAGAGAGAGCATGAAACAGCAGAGGTCACACAAAGAGAGAGAGAGAGAGAGAGAGCATGAAACAGCAGAGGTCACATAAAGAGAGAGAGAGCATGAAACAGCAGAGGTCACAAAAAACACCAGAAAAGTCAGCACAGTTTCCAGATTATTAAAAATAAGTTTTCAATCTGCTGGTTGTTTTTAAAAAAAAGTTACCCAACACCTGAAAACAAATCCATCCGTAATTTCCCAATTTAACAAACTAATTCAGTTTACTAATTTTACCCTGTAAAAAATAACAGGAAAGGTTGAGCTCATGTAAGAGACGCAGTGAAGTTTCTCCACTGATCTCAGGACAGTAAAACACTAATTAGCCTACGATTAACAACAATATGTGGGTACCGAATGGCAGATCTGCTACTGAACTCAGATCAGTGGGATATTGACGGCACTATAATCATAACATTTCAGCCCTTTAATAGTGGCGCCTATGCCAGGAACTAAATTTAGTCCCTGGTTCCTCCGGTCAGAGCGCAGGTGAGGTTCCCGAGTCCCCAAAAAAACAGTTTACTTGGTTCCTGCAGTGGAAACAGAATACAGATAGTTGGACATCCCTGCCCTCAAACAGCCCCGTCCTCAGAGGACACGGTAATGAAACGGCTGCTTAGAGCACTTAAACAAACAGCGTGACACACACACACACACACACGCACACACACACACACACACACACACACTGTGGGAGCTGACCAGAGATTCAGATAATAGCCTCTGGTGGTCTGTTTGCTCCATCATCATGAAAGACAAACACACACACAGTACATAACTACACACAATGCCCACAGGAACACACGTGTTGTCAACAATCACACACTCACACACACACACACACACTGTCCATCCGGGCTCATGACATCATCATCATCATCAGCGTAGAAAATGTTGTTTCTCGGAGGTCTGGATCAGCAGAGAGCAGCAGCAGATGGCGATCAGCTCGCTCTCTGCCAAACTTCTCAATGACTTCCCTCCCTCGCTCGCCCCATCACAAAGACCGCCACTGTACTTTCACCAAGTCGACCGAAAAACAACAGCAACACGCCCTCGCTGACCTCCAGCTGGGTGATGTTTTCATGTTTTTGTTTTTTTTGTCACCGGATGTGTGAAACGTGAGCGGAGTCGATCTGCAGGCCGTGCGGTACAACCGAGTCGACCCTAAAGGAAATCCATCTTCCATTAGTGGCGTCACGTTGCCGGTTGGACGCCGGCCAATCGCCTGCCGCTCTGACGGTGACACAAAAACTCGCCGTTCCAGGTGAAGGAGGAGTTCAGTTCGGTTATTGCACAGATCCACCGTTTGTTTGTCTTATTGTGTGACATGTTCGGATCCAGACTATTGTTAATTTTGATTGTGTCCTGTTTAGATTCAGTGTTGTCTTGTTCTATTAGACAATTTACTGTAACTTCTTTACAGAAGTGAACCAAATTCAGAGATATCGGCCTACCGTGTTTTCTGACACGCCATAAAATCAAGAAAAGCTTGTGACCCCCTGTGAAACTTTGGCGACCCTTAATGGGGGGCCTGACCAATCAATCTTGTGTTAAAAGCACTAAACTGTTTATGTGTAAAAGTGAAACTTAAATAAGTCATTTATTTGTTTCTGATCACAGCTGAGAGAAGATAAATGATCTAAATGATATCATTGAATTATCGCAGAGCCTCGTTACATAGTGACATAACCTCCACATCTACGACCACCTCAGCTGCAGTCACCGGGCACCAGCAGCTCAGATGGAGGTCAGCACTGATATAAAATCAATGTTGTCCTGTGTGGGTGGGGCCACTGCTGCCTGCGACCTTTCCTCAATGTCATTTTCAACCCCCTCCCCTCCCTCTGGCATTATCGACAGCTCTCTGTTGGCTGGTTTGGGGGCATCGGTTTGCCCGATCAATAGAAAACACCCCCACAAAAACACTTCTGGAGAGGAGCAGTGGAGAATTTCAGTCCCTCACAGTCCCGAAAAAACCAACAGTCCTCCACCCAAAAACAAAAACTACTGACAGGTTTCTCACTCCTTAAGAAATCATATTCCAGGACCTTTCCAGGACATTTTCCAGGAGTCTTTCTTGACAATACAGGACAGCACAAACAGTCACATAATGTACCAGCAGGCCTTTTATCTCTAGTTTTAGTCCTTATTTAATGATGCAACTTGATTTAGTTTAGTCTCATTTATAAAATATTTAAAATGTGTACATTGTTTTACTGATGAACATATATCTC